AAATACCGCATTGGCCGTAAGATTGGCAGCGGTAGTTTTGGTGACATTTATCTCGGTACGTGATTGACTTTTTAATATCACTGGAAATCCATAATCCTCATATTGTTGTAGGCACCAATATCATCTCTGGAGAAGAAATCGCTATCAAACTCGAGAGTGTCAAGGCCAAACATCCACAGCTTGAGTATGAGGCCCGCGTCTACAAATCTCTTGCCGGTGGTGTCGGAATTCCATTTGTTCGCTGGTTCGGAACTGAATGTGACTACAATGCCATGGTTATCGACCTTCTCGGCCCCAGCCTGGAGGATCTGTTCAACTTCTGCAACCGCAAGTTCTCACTGAAAACGGTGCTCCTCCTGGCTGATCAACTCATCTCTCGCATTGAATATATACATGCCAAATCCTTTATTCATCGCGATATCAAACCTGACAACTTCCTCATGGGCATTGGGAAACGCGGGAACCAGGTCAATGTCATTGATTTCGGCCTTGCTAAAAAATATCGTGATCCCAAAACTCATTTCCACATTCCATATCGCGAAAACAAAAACCTGACTGGTACTGCCCGTTACGCCAGTATCAACACTCACCTGGGCGTTGAACAATCTCGTCGTGATGATATGGAATCTCTTGGTTACGTCATGCTCTATTTTTGCCGTGGATCTCTCCCCTGGCAAGGACTCAAGGCCGCTACTAAGAAGCAGAAATACGATCGCATTATGGAAAAGAAGATGACCACTCCAACTGAGGTTCTCTGCCGTGGCTTCCCCAATGAATTTTCCGTCTATCTGAACTACACCCGGTCTCTCCGATTTGATGATAAGCCGGACTACTCTTACCTGCGAAAGATTTTCCGCGACTTGTTTGTTCGCGAGTCCTTCCAATACGACTATGTCTTTGATTGGACAGTTTACAAGTATCAGAAGAACGCTCAGGCCATTGCTCAGGCTACTGGAAATCAGGGTGCAGATGAAGAGGAAAAGCCTCGCCGCCAAGTTAATGCTGTTCAAAATGCACAGGCACAGCCTAAACCATCCCCTCTTGCTGCCCCCCGTCGCAAACTGGCTGAGCGTGTTCCAAGCGGGACTGTCGATACCCCCGATACTAATCGCGCTGTTGGGGGGAGTGATCGGATGTGAGTATCTGCAATATCCATATTCTCTAAGGGGAAATATTTTAGTCCTGTCCTGTGCGCTTTGATATCATGCTAGGTTGTGGAGGATTTTGGTTCAAGAATCTGACTAATCTCATAGTCTTCGGCGTTAGGCTTCGTTCTGCTTCTAAAGGTGCTAATGCAAATGCTGGCTACTCTGGCGCTGCATATCATCGTTCGAAGCGGGATGATGGTACTGGTGCTAATTGGTACTAAATTTGCGATTAAATGGTGGCTTCTTCGTCCTCATCGCATATCTTATTTCGAAACCTCAGCAATTTTTTCGTGGTTGATAATGTGTCCCGTCACCTGCATCCATCCACTAAATTCTGAGCGTTTTCTTGTTCTGAAATGCCTCCATTTCTTATGGTGTGTGTTTAGCCTTCTGCTCAGTCATTTTCGCTTTCTCGACTCGCCATCGATTTTATAAGTTTATGGATATCGTCACTTTGGTGCTGGGCCTTGTCGCATCCAAACTTTTGAACGAACACCTTGCACCGACGAACCTCAGCCTTCTTGTCGAGAAACACAACTTATACATTTACGGAATAACTGATGCAGGCTTCAGGACATATTAGGCACCTTCCTTGATATTCTTCGGTTGCTTTTCACTTTTCAAAGGATTTTTACTTTGCTCAACCCTGGAGTCAAGGAGGTGGGGTGTGCTCTTTAATGGATATCCCAGCCAACTGCCAACAATACGCTTGAATCAGCCTATGGTATTCTGGGAATCCGAATTGATGCACTAAGCCTCTCTCACTTTCATTTATCCCTTTTTTTAGCCCAAATTGTCTGCATTATAAGTTTGTCATATGCTTTTCCATATTGCGATGAATTGTGTACGTTTGACGAAAACGAAAGGGGACGAGTCGATTTTAACGGAAACGAAGAGGTTTTATGTCAGAAAATAATGGATACGATTCTGCCCGCCCCTTGGCCAAACCGTGGTCGAGTTGGATGCTGTTAATTTTTTCCTTCGACATATCAACTTAGGCTGAGCGAAATCTCCCGCTATTAAAGCCTCTTCTATTGGAGAACACGGTGACGGACTTATTTATGGCTAGGGTCGCTTCCGGGGTGGTCTTTCGTCAAATATGCTAATTTGTGTTTTGTTACTCCTTTTTCAACTTTGCGCTTGAATAGTTTATTTTCAACTACTGCAGTTTTGAGGTGGTGATGATGGCCGAGGTAATGAATAGTGGTTAGTAGAAGATTAAGGGGTCGGTAGTAATGTTGGGATGCTCACGCGCCTGGGGATGTTATGGCGGCCAGAAGAAGACTTTTTTTCCTTCTCTCTGACCCCTCTTTGTGTTTGATCCGTTACTTATCTTCTTGTCCCTCTTATTCACAAGTCTGTTAGTAATCCACAACGTTATTTATTTTTTTTTCTCTAAATTTTGTGTCATATCTCCTAACCCCTGCTCTTAAGCCTCCGCTCTAACCTTCGTTAATTAACTTCAAACTTTATCCACTACGTAACATTGGAGTGAACAAAATAAATGGGAATGGCTCCATGTTGGTCCCGACGCAATTTTGACCTCCAGGGACAAATTTTTCGAGGTAAATGTAACTGGGAATTCTGCCCTATCCAGACGGCTCCGAAAACACCATATTGCTCAACATTCTTTCAATGAAGTGTGTGCTCGAATACAGACGTATATGGAGGACAGCCAGCTTCTTACCGGGCCCCCTTTTATAAAGCTAGAGATATCGGAAATCAAACGATGGAGAAAAAGTCTTTCAATAATCCAGCATCTAGCATTTTAAAATTATACTGCAGATCTTGAGGAAGGTTTAATTGCCGCTGCAACAAGTCTGCATGGATAGACTGCACCGAACTCACGAGATTGTACGCCGTAGTGCGATGTGTACGATCGATATCTAGATCAATACTTAGCTACAAATCTCAAATCTCCATTTCCCGGTGAGGCTCACTTTTCATTTTTTTTGCCTAGAATCCTGGATAATTCTGTGTTGTGTGAGAGAACAGTGGCTGGACACAGCTTGTGGTTCATCGAGCTTGGTAACATCAGCGTGTTGATGCAGATATCCACCTCGTAAATTTGTTGACGTGCAAGACGGGAAGGCGGTAAACCTCTATGTCCTCGTCCGTTATTGAGAGAGGATTTCCTGACTTCACGCAAAGGGTCCTTAACTATTTATTAACTGAGATACATTTACACGTCTATCACCGTACGTACCTATCCCATGCTATAAACAGACCACCAGAGGCAGCGACGATGCTTGCGAGCATGATCGTCTAAACTACCATCACTCACTTCTTCGTGTAAAACTCTTATGATATGGCCATCTGCAGGGCAAATCCTCTTCCAACACATCAGGAGAAATACTTCGCACCCCGGTAGAAGGTGACATACGGGTGAGGTTACATATAAAAATGCGACGACATCTTTATGATTAAATTTTTGAAAGAAATATCCAACCAAGAAAAGGAGATGGATTGAATGTGGGAATAGCGTTGTTAACGGTGTCATCGGTGTTATGTGGATATGTAAGAAATGGATTGACCTTCCCTAGTTAACTTCAGTGTCAACTTGATGAAATTATCTCGTTTTGATGAAAACATTTATTCCCCGTCGCGAATTCTGCTCCCTCAACAGTTGTGTAGTAGCATCCGCTTGTAACTCTTCCCAACCGTAAAACATCCCGTGTGTCAACAACGAAAGGTAGTGACCAAACAGAAGGAAGTCTGCAAACGATTTGAAAGAAATAAGGGTTGTTCGAACATCTCTATTTCAGGGATGATAGAAAGAAATAAAATATAGATGAAAGGTTGAACAAGGAGTAAAAAGATATCATAAGCAACAAAACTAGCTAAACAAATAACAGAGGGATGAGACGACATATCTACTTCTAGAAACAAATCGGGGGGATATCAGAGTAGAGTTTGAACAAGTTAACAAGAGAGAAAGCAGCAAAAGCAGCAAAGCGAAAGATAGGATATAGGAAGAGTTGAGGAGAGATGTATAAGAAAATATTCAACGACCCTAAACCAGAGGCTGAAGCCAATTAAGATTACATCAAGGGGGAAAAAAAAAAAAAAAAAATCAATTACTGCACATGAAAGGGCAAGTGAAATGAATGTATCCAAGAAATGTTGAAAGAAAACGAGGTACAATCTTAGGAGATGATAAAATAATTTCTGTATCAAAATAAACCTATAGGTATAGGTATATAGATATATATACTATAGGACTATCCATGTCTCCCGTAGAAGATAAATAGAAGGATACAAATATCATAGACATAATGAAGTCTGGAAAGAGAGAAAAGTTCGAAAGAAAAGGGTAAGAACCAGGAGTATCGCGTGCCGTAAGAGCAAAATAACGGAAACAGAGATAGATTATGGAAAGTGCAAGAAAATTGACGTGGAAATAGGTAGGAATACGAAGGTTAAAGAAACATATATCGGTAAAAATTGAAAGAAAATAGGAATAGTAAGAGGAACAAGTGAAAGGTGAGCGTAGGAGGAAAAGTTGATTGCAAAAAATACAATTAAAGGCTTAAACAAGCCAAATCCAGGACAAAGGAATTAGCTAATACCAGTATAAGATTAAAAAAAAAAAAAAAGGAAGGGGGGGGGGGGGGGGGAAAGAGGCCGGGGTAGGAGGTAAGGATATTTTATAGAATCCAGATTCCCGAACAACATCACTTAGTGATTAGAAGACCATCAATGTCTACAATCACTGCTCACCCTTCCACCAAACGCGGAACGAGGAGGTATCTGAACCAACCAGCAGAAGAACCTTCCATACAGCCTGCGTGAATTAGTTTCTTAGTAGAAGAATTTCCCGTTCAGAAACAGATGGAGTCAAATTGCTTCACATCAAATCATGTTATCCTTCGTTGACGCTGTGGGGTCACCGGCTGCGGGTCCTGTCGTTGGTGTTCTAACGGGGGTGCAAGCCCGCTCCTCTTCATCCAATCGTTTCCGCCAATTAGCCAGATTATCGCTCAAGCAGTTCTCACCGTATGTTTCCTTGGTGGGGGTACGATCGAAATCGAACTGGGTGCTTAGTCGGTAATTTCTGTTTGTGTTTTCCCAATGGCTTCGGAGAGCGTCTAGCTCAGTGGCGAGGGAATCGAGTGCGAAGGAACCACGATAGTTTAGGAAGGACTCGTCTTGGGAAGCGTTACTGTCAGCTCTTGGACGGCCGCTGATTATGTTGCTCGACGAGTTGCTGATGGTACGGCTCAATCCGTTGGATTGGGACAGAACTTGTTGGGACTGTCGTCGATAATTCGTAACGGATGATTCGACCTGGTCAAGGAGCATTGTAACTTTCCGTTCCGCATCTAGCGCCCGGGTTTCAAGAAGGGTATTCTCACTTTTAAGCTGCTCTAGGTCCACACGGCTCTTTTCTGTGATGTTAGACAGCTCACTTTTGATGTTTGCTTGCTCGGACCGGCTCTGATCCCTTTCAGCTTGTACAGCGGTGAGGTCTTGCTGTAGTTTTGCCAACTGGGTTTCTAAGTTAGCAACTGAAGTCGAAGTCTTCGACTGAAGTTCAGAGAGAGTTTGATGCAAAGCTGAACGCTCAGCCTCCCATTGAGCTAATGCGTCCGCCGATGGGGTAGATGAAGAATCAGCTTTTTGCAAAGCTGCGTCTAATTCCGTCTGCAGTTTCGAGTTCTGGGATTTATATTTGGAAAGCTCGTCCTTCATCCTCTTCAGCATTTTCTCTGTTCCCTTCACATAATGGACAGCGGATTGGTAATCATTTTCAAGCTGCTCAAGCTTCTCATGGTAAGCTCGATCAGCCTCCTGTTCTCTCGATTCAAATGATAATTTCATTTCTTCGTGCGCTTTTAGACTTGCCTGAAGCTGCTGCTCCAGTTCGCGAAGACGAGCATGCTCAGGGGTTCCGAACCGAGAGCCAGGGGAGTCAAGGAGTGGGGATCGTCTATTATCCGCACTTATACCACGCTCTCCGAGTAGCTCTTTCAGCGCCCCATGTTGTATTGCCAAAGCACTAGTGTCGCGTTGGTGGCTCTCAAGTTGTGCCTTTACTTCTCGGTTCTCATTACTCAACGCTTGGCTCTCTTTCAAAGCTGACTGGAGTTGTCTCCGAAGCTGAAGACCTTCCCGACTAGCCTGTTCTTGGTACTGCTCCAAACCAGCAATCCGCTCCTCTGCTCGTCGAAGTTTCTCAGAGGCCTCATTTGCTGCCTGGCGATTGGTCTTTACAAGCTCATTTGCACGGTCAACTTGCTCCTTCAGAGCCTCCACTCGTTGGTCAGAGAGTGACTTAGAGCCAGTGTCAGAATGATGGGAGGAGGCACGGTCCAGACCGGCCAAGAACGCCGATCTATGACTCTCTGCTTCCCTTGCATGGGTTTCGGCCAATTCTTCAGCATCTTTCAATCGCCGAGCAGCATTTTCGAGTTCCGTCGTCTGCTCCTCATGCTCCGCTCTAAGCTGCAGAAGTTTCCTCTCCAAACCTTCACGGTGTTCACGTTCCTCCTCCAACTGTCTTTCCATAAGCTCAGCTCTAGCTGCGGAAGCGGTGACCGCTTCGCGAAGGGATACAACATCAGTTCCATGACTTTCCAGACGGCTACGGAGATCATCCACATTCTGGGATAATTCATTTTTATCAATTAGAGCGAGCTTAAGAGCACTCTCCGCTTCGGATCGGAGGACAGCCTCTTCTCGGAACGCAGCCTGTAATTGATGGAGCTCGGTCCGCAAACTTTCCAATTCCAGGTTGTTATTCTGCGATTCCATTTCCGAGAGTCTTTTACTCGTTACCTCATGAAGTTCCTCGGCCAACTCTCGTGCTTTCTTCTCATCTTGAAGCTCCAACATCAACGCTTCTGCCTTCGCTTTCATTTCTGATTGTGAGGCAAGAGCAAGGGCTAGCCGTCGACTTATTTCAGCAGATCGATCAGGATTTTTTTCATCAATATCGCGGCCGTTACGATCTGATTGGGGTGTCCCTCGTGGGCTACCTCCCTGGGCAGCAAGTTTAGCTTGGGCATAGACAGCTTCGTTAATGGCAGCGTCCCTTTGATGTTCCGCTTCTGCTACCCGCTTCGACGCAATTGCTGCCTGACGGTCAACAGCAGCTTGCATCTTCGCCAGCTCCGACCGCATGGAAAGGAAAGCCTCGATCAAAGGACGATCTTCTTCTTTAAAGGCGTCTATCGATCGTTGGTCAAGGATAGAAGGATTCGGGGGGTTGATATTATATCCTGCCTTTCGGGCCAATGCTAATTCTGAAGCATACCAAGCATTCCTGGCTTTTGCTGTTTCGAGCTCCTTTATAAGAGCTTCTTGGTGGGGTGTCAGGCGTGGGGAGCGAGGTTCGTCGGTAAAATTTCTGGAATTCCTATAGCTTCTTTGTTCCGACCCCTCAACATTGCCAAGTTTGCCCAGAATGGAGTCATCTACGCTATCTATAGAGTTCTGACGTCTTTGTCGTAGGGAGCGTTGTCTTGCGGGTGTCACTAGTGGGGCAGCTTCTCCGGCTTCCATAGCTCTAGCAGATAGCCGCGAAGAAGATTGCTGGATTGGCGTCCGGCGACCACCAGCAACGGGGCTCAGTTCTCGTCCTGGGCCGGCACCTGCCATCGCATCACGCATCCCAGGTCCTGCTCTATCTCTTTCATTACCAATAGGTCTCTGGTTATCGACAGGTGTGATTCCCCTTTCCCCTTTGGGGGGTTTGTTTCGTGAGCCATGGTTGCCACCAGTGTTGGGGCCCCTTGATGTTGGTGTTGGCGCTTGACCAGGAGGAGGCGGGCCGGCTGGTGCTTGGGCAATTGATGCGCGAGGTAGGCGAGAATTTGGACCGCCAGGGGCAGGACTCGATGCATCAGGCCTCCCAGAAGTGGCACTTTCGCGACCCGACGGCTGCCCACGGCGGTTCTGTAAGTCTGGAGTTGAGTTATTAGCCTCGCGGGATGTACGACCTGATACACCTGGTCGATCTGGTGGGCCCATCTTGCGGGGACCATTGCCCGTTGGAGAAGTGGGACTAGGTTCACTAGGATATCGAATTTTGGAGGTGTCCAAAACATACACTAGGCTCAGCTCCTCTGGATCTCGGGGTGCAGTACTCGGTTCGCCCCCGAGAACTATAATTTGTTTGCCGAATGTGGTCATGCTGTGGCCAGAGCGGGCAGATGGTGATGGTCCCATGTTTTGGAAGGAATACCATCGTCTGGTGGGGATACGGAACGCAGCCAGGTCCGCCAAATCTGCGCCTTCTTCAGTGCGTCCAGAGAAGATATACATGACGTCATTAACTATGGCAGCAGCATGCCCCTCTCTTGCTGCAGGTACCAATCCAACATAGTCTAGCTGTGTCCAGAGATTCGTTCTGGGGTCGTAGCACCAAACGTCATTAAACCATTGTAGCCCATTCGTTCCACCAAACCTACCGAGGTTAGCACTAGCTTTCAATATACCATCATTTGGAGGAACTCACAAGTAAAGTTTATCACTGAAACTGACGATGGTGTGGTTCGTCCGAGCGGGTGGGATTTTTCCTGGGGGTGGTCCACCATCATGACTGTTGCGGATTAAATATTCCCACTTATTTGATGGATTTTGAAGCGCATTCAAATCGAAGGCAACCAAGTCGTTAAAGAAAAAGCCCTCCACCTGGCCACCAAAGATATAAATCTTGGAGCCTATTATATTCAATGTGTGGCCATATCTTCCGGCGGGTCGAGGACCCGGAGGAACAGCGCGAGACCACTGTCGGGATGCTGGAGAGAGATAAGCGATCTGTCTACCAACAAAGTATTTAAACGGCTAATGGAAGACAGAGATGCTCACAAGTATTTAACAGATATAATGTATCGTCCAAAGAATCATTGTCATCTGTTTTTGTATCTCCACCAAACACAATGAACGCATTTCCGACTAGTAAACTTGCGTGGCCAACTCTGGGCCCCGGGCCTTCAGTCACAGGGGTGATAGGGAAGCAGGACATGTTGCCTCCATTGTTTTCTACCATCCACAAATCCCCTTTGGCAGTTGATCCATCAACCAACCCACCCATCATGTAAATATCGCCCTCTTTTGATGCCACACCGTTAACCGCAGCGCCATATCGTGGAAAAGGTCGAAAATTCTGGCTAGGGAAATTCATTCGACGTTGAGACCATGGGAAAAGAGCGGGGTTTGGAACTGGCGATGGTGCGTTGTTTCCATTTTGTATTTGTGTTCGTGGTCCCTAATCAGTGGCAAGTTAGCCATAGCACAGACAATCTTATCTTTTGAAAGTAATAACGATGCTGCGAAACAAGTGTAAAAGCTTATCCCCAAAGATGGCCCAATATCTCCCAGTGCGTCTCTTAAATTAGACAGAAATAACGCACCTGGGATTCTGAGTCGGCTCTATCCCTCCGTGACCTAGATTGTTCAGAACTAGCAGTACCAGTCAGAGAGTTCAACGAGTTGTTCGTGCTCCCAGAGCCTGGGGACTGCACTGGTCCACCATCCCGTGCACCATTGGGGGGTACTGCTGAAGGACCCGAAGCAGTTCCTTCTGAGGTATGAATGGTTCTCGTCGCTGGTGGTAAGCCAGAATTTGCGGCTTGATTGTGTTTTTTTGATTTAAACAGGAATGCCATGGTGAGAGAGGAAAAGCGAGCGTCTCAACGTAAAACGTGGGTGGGAAAGAGGAAAGCTGGAAGTACGTCAAGATGAAAATTAACTGCAAGTGGTAAGTTGGATTGGGGTCATGAATGACAGAAGTGGTCGTGGTCGTGGTCGTGGTCGTGGTCGTCGTCAAAAAACGCGGTCCGTCAGGTAAAAACACAACGAGTCGGTTTCGTTAACTAGGGACGAATCGTGAGGACGAGGATTGTTGCAATTGCGAATTGGAATAGGCTGTTTCGGGAACGAGAGTAATGTGACTGCCACTCCTAAACACCCTCCCCTGTTAGCATATTGTAGACCAGTTCATGGTGGTCAGTCAAAATGTGTACGGAGTAGGAGACTGAGAGGAAGAAAGTCGATGGTTCCCCAAACGATTTTAGGTAGAGGAGGGGGTGGAATGTAACTACCCGAATGAAGTCGACTGTGGGTCGAACTTTTTGAAGAACCCAACCAAGGTTCATCTAAATATCACCCGCGTTCCTGACAGGGCTGGTCCACCCGCAGGTGCACTCGACGATATCAGAAGCGAATGCAAACACTAGGAGCATTCATTGGACTTGGGCTAAGCAGTCAACCGGGATGGCGGCTCTCGCAGTCGGTGGATACACCACTAAATGAGCGATGGGAAACGTCAAGTGGGGAGGGGAGATTGGTTGAGGGCGGAGGAGAACCAAAGCGAGGGTAGTTAAATAATGCAGCCAACAAGGAACGACACGACCACCGCGGGCGCTGCGGGTTCGCGAGAAGGACTCTCTTGTCACGTAGTCATGAGAACTCGCCTGGTTCGAACGGGCTGAGAACTGAACGGCGAGGCAGCCGTGTGCTCGTGCCAGGAACGGCAGGAAATCCAGAATCCGGAATCTGGAATCTGGAAGCTGGAAGCTGGAAGCTGGAAGCTTGTTGGAAGCTGGAATCCGGGACAGAATCAGGATGAAGTTCAAAGCCCAACTCATTTTTCAGGGGCGCCAAGCACACCCCGATCAGGCCTAGTGGCCTGCCGCACAGGCGGTATAGGTACCTCACCCCCGCCAACTCTGCCCGCGTGAACAAGGTACCAGGACCCTCCCTCTGGAGACGCTTTGCACCCCGTGTCGTGTCTGGGCTTTTTTGATAGCTCACGAAAACCAACAATTGCGGAAGAAGAAGAGTCTCAATTTGGCCAGACTCGCGCGGTATCCCATGGAATAGAAAACTCTCTTCCAATCGAGTCAGTCATTCGCCTTTTACTCTCCTAGTCTTGCTGATGTCGATAACATCTTCCGGGTTTAATTGTTAGTTAAATCGTATAACTAAAGCTGGAAACTTTTGACAGTCCTTGGTTAGGTCAGATATCTCCCGAAAGCAACCTGAGAGGTTGAACTTGTCCCACACCTGTCTCTAGCTTTACAGATAATGGATGGCTCTGCTTTCGCCGGAGTGACAAGGAGAAATTAAGGAAAATTCTTTAAATTTAAAATCCCTCAATGTTTTTCTCAGGCCAAGAATGTTCCTTTCTTACTTACTTTCCGTCTCCAGCGGATGTATGTTTGTCTGTACATGTACATGTGCATGCATTCATAGGTACCCCGTGGACACTGCCCACAGCTTACCTACCGCATGGTTGCTGCTGCTTGAGGGCCAAGTGCTTACCGCGTCCGCCTTCACCCCTGAGGCTCTCGAGGCCGAGCTGGCAAAGTCTACATGAATTTAAATTGTTTTTGATGATCCAACACCCAGCGCTGCAACCCTTGCAGGGGTGGTTGAGGGTGAACAGCTTGGAAACATGGAGGTCTTTTCCAAGGTTCCTCCATCCATCACTGATAGTTATATATATGGGCTCTGTCTCCGTCAACGTTCCGATGGAAAAAGGGGGTGATGGAATAAGTATGATGATCATTGCAATGTTTTACAGGTATAATCAAGGAACGTGTTTTAGCTCTCTCCCTTGGCTGATAAAATTAGCAGTCCAGGTGTTCCGGGCTGATTCTGCTCAACAGGCGGCGTGCGAGGGTTGGCAAAGGACACATTCTCCGAGACAGCTGTGAATAAAGACCGGTCTGTACTTCAGAGATCAGGGGGCGAGTGTCATATAAATGGACAGGCCAATGGAAGTAAGGCAATAATCGTTCGACGTGTGCTACCACAGTCGATAATTTTGGTTGCCCGGATTTTGCCATATCCTCCGCGTGTCTATTAGTTATTCCATTGGTCCAAAGTACACGAACGACCATTGTCTCCGGCTGACTCGACTAGAATACTCCATAGAATTAAAGTTGTTTTGTAAGAGACAATAAAGCAAAGGGGAAAACGATCCGATTTTCAGTATAAATTTAGCCATCCCAGATGTGGAACACGGCCCTACAGGCTACAAGCTACAAGCTACACAAGCCCTGATGGATGGAGCTCCCACAAGAATTAAGCATGCATACTTATGTGCTGGATGACCCCTGTCAGTCACAAGAGGAAGAATATTTTATAAAATCTCCCCCTGTCCTCTGACACACACACACACACAAAAAGTTCCATCTCCAATTCCCAGCTAATAAGACGCCTTCTTCAGAATTTGACAGCTTTCAAATATATCTAGCTAGATGAGATAAGAGGTTTCAAAGTGCAACATCCTCTCATTCACCATCCTCTGATGAATCAACAAAGCCAGCTTGCCTTGAAGCCAAAAAGACAAAGATGATTGGAACCAAGTGACATTGTGTAGTTAGTTGTGCGGTCGATAATGGAATACTGAATGAAGTCTTTTTCTTTTTTTACTTTTTTTTTTTTTTTTTTTTTTCCCATCTAATTTCTATCTATTAATTACTTCCAGGTTAAGGTTGAACGGTGGACAGGCCCTTTCCAAGAATCCCTCACGCTGCTTTTGTCCCCAAACTTTTAGCACTGAATAAACCAAAGAGGATACGAAATTAGCCGTTCCTGAATCCTGAAATGGCCTGCTTTAATGTCAATCAGGGGCTCGAGCGCGTTTCAGAATATGCCCCCACTAAGATATTTTCAGGCTTGGTGCATATCCCTTCTTGTCCATGGATATATCAATTGGCCTGTTCACTCTCTTCTACGGACTTCAGCGGATTTACATATGTTGGAAAAACAGGGGAGAGTCGACGCCAGGGAAAACTCCTTTCAAGGCGAATACGGACGTAGTGGTATGCATATTTATTTGACGCAGTTAACAGCAGGATGAGTGAATGTAATTATGGAAGACAAGCAAAAGCATGTTTCAAAAAAAAGAATCGAGGTAAAAAAAGAATGAAATTGGGAATTTCTAGGTATGGGGCAAACCGGGATCGAACCGGTGACCTTCTGATTGCTAACTGGAATTGGCTGTGCCAAATCCTGTAGTGGTGAAGTTCTTACTTCAGTCAAACGCGCTCCCAACTACGCCATTGCCCCTTGATTGGCGTGCTATTCAGCTAATGCGCTAGTTCACCAGAAGGCGAAGATGCCCCATTCCGTTCCAAACCCGGGTTCTTTTGTGCCGGCAGTATTTATGAGCAACCTGTCTATCTTTTGTTGGATTGGAACCGCCCACGAATTGACGGTTTACGCACATAGGGTGTGTCTACAAGAAAGGAAATTCAACACCGCTGTCCATTTCACCCTTAAGGTAAATAATTTTGACTTCTTGGATAACAGCAGCTGGACAAACTTTGGTGTTCAAAGTGTAAGGACAGTTTCCAAAAGCAAAAGGTATTTCCTTCAAGCTCCTAGAAGCAAAAATTATCTAGTATGAACTTCTTATTTTCCTTCCAAACAAACACTCACCATATAAAAAATATCTAGACATTTAAAGGGAGGCAGGCAACTTGGGTATGTATAGTACTGGAATACCTATTATCTGAGTGGCCGGATAATGTGTTTAGTCAGCACCCATGTTCACTGCTCTTTTCCATCAAAAGCGATAACCCCCAATTACGTCATGCAATGGCGGCCTAAGCGGCCGACGCGAACAGTTTATGTTTGATCCTTTCGTATTCCATCCGCACTCTGTGCCTTGGGATCGCCTCTCATTCCTGAGAACATAACATCTTCCCCTTATCTTCCGACCATGGATACCCCCAACTCTACTAGCAGAGCGGAACAAGCTCTTTCATCGCAAAATATTCTTGATCGCGCTGCCGCGTGCCTGGGAGATGCCGAGGTGCCACTGAAGAATGCCTGGGAAGCCATAGCACTGGTTGGCCATGCTTGTATGAGCGCCGTTGACTTTAGGCTTATTGGCCTTGAAGAAGATCACAAAATAGGTTCGTCAACCTCCTGTTTCCTAATAAATATACATATAGTAGTATCTATTATCTGCTAACGCGCCTCCCCTACAAAATAGAATCGCAGGAACCCTCATCACCGCTCCCGAAAGAGTGGAATGCCGGCTCCACCTACGCTTTCAAATATGCCCACCCCCAATCCTCCATGCAATTTTTGCTAAAAGTCAGCCGACTCGGTGGCAACGCTATCATCTTCGCGCTGGCCCTGGGCCACGACAAGACCACAACTTTCGATTTGCCCGTCAAGGACTACATTTCCGAATCGTCCCTCCCCCTATCCAAATCTGCATCTGCAGAGACCTCCCGATCTCTCGAGCAAATTTTTATATCCCCATCCCGCCTCACCGATCTCATTAGCCTGTTCAGAATCAATGTGATCCAGAAGCTTGTTCCGGGTCTACAGAAGGAAGGATACGAAGATTTCAGCCGCCCGCGGCTGGTGGCTGGACAGGACAGGGTCGAACAGGCGGGACGACAGCCGATACGAGATCCGCTGCGTGACGATCGCATACCAGAACCAGCTCGTCCGTATCCATTTAATGACCCCCTGGCTGTTCCTCCACAACGACCAATTCCCGCGGCCGACTTCCCTCCACCTGGGTTTGAGGATGAATACGAAATCAATGTGCCTCCCAGGGGTATCTATCCGGGCCAGGGCCAACCACGGGCACCAAATATTGGAGAACGGGATCTGTATCCCCCCAGTTTGGGCCCGCATGACCCACTGGTAGGACATTTGGGACCGCAGCGGGGCGGAGGGATGCATCCAACATTTGATGATCCTATGTTTCAACGTGGGGGGGTAAGTGGTGGTGATGAATATAACCCTCAAGTTCCTCCTGGGGCAAGATATGACCCTGTTGGTCCCGGCAATGGACCGCCAATGGGACGGGGCGGGGGTCCAGGATTCCCTGGGGGACGTGGAGGCCGAGGTGGGTTTGGAGGGGGATATGGAGGAGGATTTGGAGGAGGCGCCTTTGGTGGTGGTGATATAATTTAGGGGGCTACGCGTATGGTTATGCAATGGCGACTCCATATATATCCAAAACATGTAGTTCCTTTGATTTGATGTTCGATGTGACCTCGGTGAATTTTTACGTTTATCCAGACCGATAACTGAATTGTACATACAATTCACCTTTGTTCTTCTGTACATAATAACTAAGCTAATAGGATCATGACTTCGACGTCCCTTGCAAGATCTGTTACAGCAAAGCACCTCCACAGCAAATGTAAATAGTATTATCAAAAGCACCTCACTGTTAATAACTGGAATGCGGGCAATTGTCCTTTGTAAGTGGCGCAGTTAGAAGGGGTGGCTCCTGGCTGTGGCTTGCGCGCGAATCCCAGTCCCCCTGCCCGCCCAGACTAACCAAATCCAACACAAAAGACTCTTAAGGTTGGCAGAGAAGAGCCGCAGTTCAGTTCTCTTGACAATCAAACCCCCCCACAACAGCTCTACATACCGTACCTGATCTGGCCCTGGAATAAATATTCTTTGCTACGATTCTCCTGCGGCCCTTATTCTCATGATTTGTTGATACCCATCCATTGCTTCAGTTTCGCCCTAGCCAGTGTCTGTTACCTTGCTCCCCCACGCGCCCGCACCCAGTCGCTGCCCCGTCTTCCAACTCCCCCTCCAATTACCAGGCGATACCTTATATATCACTGGAGTCCCCATTCCTCATACACATGGACAACAAAATGGAGATTGATTCGGGTCGATCGCCTGAACCTCACAACCTCTCCCCTACAAGCGACCCAGACTCAATACCCACTCTTGATGGCTGGATTGAGAGTCTTATGACCTGCAAACAGCTGGCAGAGCAAGATGTACAGAGACTGTGCGATAGGGTCAGTTCCTTTTCTGTTGTAATTAATTATTTATTCTCTTTCGGAACTCAGCAGAAAGAGCTTATGACCCCCGGCTTGCGCTTGAACGCTAATGATGGGTATTTTATAAATTTATAGGCGAGAGAAGTATTACAAGAGGAGTCGAATGTGCAGCCAGTGGTATGTATCACCTTATTCTTTATTTCGGTTGCAAAGGAGAACCTGTCCATCAAGTCGAGTGTGTTTCGGTCCCATAAAGCTGATTTGTGGTCGCCCTGCTAGAAATGTCCAGTGACAGTGTGCGGAGATATACACGGCCAGTTCCATGATCTCATGGAGCTGTTCCGTATCGGTGGACCTAATCCAGATACTAATTATCTTTTCATGGGTAAGGCGATTTTGTACCGTCGATATATCCACCCGCTTGTTTGTATTAACGACTACGTAATAATTTGAAGGCGACTACGTTGACCGCGGCTACTACTCCGTCGAGACCGTGACCCTCCTCGTCGCCCTGAAGATCCGTTATCCACAACGCATCACCATCCTCCGCGGTAACCACGAATCACGTCAGATTACCCAAGTCTACGGATTCTACGACGAGTGTCTGCGGAAATACGGCAACGCAAATGTCTGGAAATACTTCACAGATCTCTTCGACTACCTCCCCCTCACCGCGCTCATCGATAACCAGATATTCTGTCTCCACGGCGGCTTGAGCCCGTCAATCGACACCCTGGACAATATTCGCTCACTGGATCGGATCCAGGAGGTGCCCCATGAAGGACCTATGTGTGATTTGCTCTGGAGTGACCCGGATGATAGATGTGGTTGGGGCATTTCACCCCGTGGCGCTGGGTATACGTTTGGTCAGGATATTTCGGAAGCGTTTAATCACAACAATGGATTGACCCTGGTTGCTAGGGCTCATCAACTGGTAATGGAGGGGTATAACTGGTCACAGGATCGCAATGTGGTGACTATATTTTCAGGTAAAGCTTCCTCGCTCTCCCCCTCTTCACATTTCAATCCCTGCCCTCCCACATTTTATATTTCCACAATACATGCTAACCCCTTATGCACTTGCGTGTGTATTTATAACAGCTCCAAATTACTGCTATCGATGCGGAAACCAAGCTGCTATTATGGAGATCGACGAGCATCTCAAATACACCTTGTAAGTCCTTCCGCCGTTCCATCCATGTTACTACCGTCCACAACCGATTACAAAGAGACAGGCACACCGCCTCTCTCTCTCTTCTTCTTCTTCTTCTTCTTCTTCTTTATTTTTATTTATTTTTTTTTTTTTTATAATTTTACAATTTTATATTTTCTTTAATAATAAATTTACTGACACGACTCTTTTCTTTTCTTTTTACACCTACCTTAGCCTCCAATTTGACCCCTGTCCCCGCGCCGGGGAACCCATGGTCTCCCGCCGGACCCCAGACTACTTCCTCTAGAATAGAATTCTCTCAATGCCCTCTTCAAAGACGTCAATCCAACTCGCCTTAATGTCGTCCCAAATTTGGCGTTTTAGAACAGAAGAAAATCATCAAATCAAACAAAGTCATATTTTTTGCATGATTGAATTCATCAACTAAACTTTACTTTCTTGATTTTATGCGGCACTTCTCCTGCCCCATTTTTATGTTTGTTCTGTCGTCTTTGCTTTCTTTTTGCAACTTTTTTTGGCCCGCCCTCTTTCCCGTTCTTCTTTATATGGTTTCAGATAAACTACGGTTCTACATTTTGTAGGAATCCCCGTGGTATTGCGATGGGGTGGGGTTTAGATGAAGATAGATGGGATGCGATGGAGTAGCAAGATAAAAGGAAGCCAAGTGGAATGAACAGAGTACATAGTAGTATATTTGACGTGTTTATCCCAGAGTTTCCTTCCTGTAAATCCCCCGTTTCTTTTGCTGTGGAAGGATGTCGTATTTTTCCGTGCTGTGATTTCTTCAGGTGCGGAAAGGAGTCCCGCAGCAGAACATGTATTTAATAGAGAAGTAGTTTTTTGATTGTTTTCTTATATTTACTTTCTCTCGTGTTGTCTTTAATGTCGTATCAGTTCAGTCGTAAAGATGTTAGAAATATGGTCGCTCTGACATGGGCTGAGGCCTGAGATCTACGAAACAGAACCGTCCTACTGATTTGAAATGACTTATCATTTAACTATGAATAGCATTAAATACATCCTACCCACAAAATTTTTGTTAGGATCATTCCACCAAATGTATACATGAATCCCTTTAAATAGCGTGGTGGAATCTCCCGACATTTGCTAGAAAAGGCTTTAAAGAGGTAAAACCTCCCTTCAACAAACCCAGGACCTGTGGCGCAACGGTAGCGCGTCTGACTCCAGATCAGAAGGTTATGTGTTCAAATCACATCGGGTTCAGGATACTTAACCTTTTTAATGAGGTTTTTTCTTTCTTTTCTTTTTTTTTTTTTTTTCGGCTTGAATTTCTTGAATTCAAAAATCTTTAAAATTGTATATTCCCCCATCAATCTTCCAACTTCTTACCCACTTTGTTCGTTTTCTGGGATACGCTGTTTACGCCTATCGCTAAGGCTTTGTCTCACATCCCGGCCGCGCCTATAGTAGGTGCCATAGCTAACTATGGCCGCCAACAAGCATATTATTCCAGGGTCTCGTCAAGCACGACTGCACAAGCTTATTGGATCCAGAAATATCCTAATTGCACGTAGCAAGGGAGTGTTGTTTCCTATACATAGGCAGGTAATTGGGCACCTATATAACTTGCACTTCAACGGAATGGATAGCGAGAGCAGACCTCCAATTTGGATCAAAGGACTGCAGCGTCATGCACACTGAGCCGCTTTTTGGGAGATAGATAACCCAATTTTCGACTGCTTATTGGCTCTGCATTGCCAGTTCGGTATCGGCTGGCTGAATCAAGGCAGTGAGCAAACACTGCTATAGCTGCAGTGCCTTTAGATGAGGGGGGGAATGTTCAAATCAGCACCGATATCAGGCGCTTGGATAAATAACTTCCAGGCTCACTTTACCAACAATTTAACCAAGGGATAGTTACCGTAATTGACGGTTTACAATATCTGCTAGCCGATCTATGATGTGTATGTACAAGCATTTCTCTCTTCCTCACATTGCAACCCCCGAACAAATTCTGTTCCTCCGCAGACCCAAACGCCGCCCCTGCGGCTCGTGTGCATTAATAGTGTCCGCCAATGCTTAGGCTATTTCGGGTCAACAGTCATCCTAGAACTAATTAACCGCTCGAGTTGATCGGAACACTTGGCCGAGGATTAGTTGCAAAGCCCCTGCAGATCTTATTAATAAACTCCTGTAGTTGACAGGGAGTAAATTGTCCTGTCACTTCGTTATTTCTCATCCATGGATTTGATTAGTGTTTTGAGCGCGTGCGTATTCCGGTAAAATTGGAGTGCCTAGGTAAGAGGTAAAGAAAGGCTAGGCTATGGAAAGTATCTGCTGTCCATCCACTTTTCCGCCAGTGTGGCATGCTCAAATTATGGCGCGCAACGTCATGAAAGCGCTGGCTTAACTCGTCGCTTGGCCTCCATTCTCCGATAACCCGCCATGTCAAAATAGGAATTCCACACGAGGCAGAATATGTAACTGATCACCGATTCGCTGTAGGGTAGTTGGTATACTTCCCTTTCATGTCTGGCCCAGGACGTCACATCAATGTCGTTCGCAGACAAGCCTTCTCCAGGGACGGCATGTTGCACAGTGATTTTGCAAATGATTCTAAGAATGGGCCTAGGTTCATCAATCGGTATTATACGGAAAAGCCTGTTTGATAACCGTAGCTGGCTTCGTTCCTCCCTGAACCTGTTATGGGCCCATTGCTTATCTGCCCCACTTTCTGTAAGGGGAGGGTAATGCTCGTGCGTGCCGTTGTAACCTGGTGTACTCGAACTCTTGCCGCCCGGACCTTGAAAATATCATATTCCAGAGGGTGATGCGGGTTGAAACTTGACATCCAGGTGCTCCAAATAATCGCTGTGTGAACACGCGAGAGTTAAGCAGGTTATAGGACAGAGGGCTGACAAGATCCGGAAGAGCAGCGCTTTGGTCCACATGCCATCCCAGGTGGCTATCTATGTTACTGCAAAAGTAGAGTCCAGCTGTTTTCAGTTTCGCAGGCACCATATCACTACTAATCGCCTCGCCGAAGGCGTGTCTGGAATCGCTCCAGGGACCCTCCCAACGGTCGAGTGAAGTGAGAGATAACCGGGTAGATTGAATAATTTGGGAAACGCTCGTGAAAATATCGACAGTCTAAAACTTTCAGATTTAGAAGTTTCGAAACAAGGTCAGCCATCACACGCAGGTCGAGTGGTCGTTCATCCTTGCATGCGGCATTTCTCTTCCTGTTTTCACCTATGATAAGAGTACGGACTGAAAAGAGCTTGGGAAGGTTTTCAGGGTTAAGGAGTTGGACACTCCAGCGATGAAATCTGCGGTGATTACAATGCCGATCATTTTTGTCTGACTGGAATGGAGATTCAATAGTTAGACATAGCCCTGTTGGTTGGTGGTTTGGGAGCTCTCGCTCCTCTAAAATCTTAATTGCCGTAAACAATTCTGAAACTCGGCTGGTAAGATACTCATTGCAAGCTTGGATATCGTCAACGGTCTCCCGACATTTAAGCGGCTCATTATTTTCATGTTGCACTTCTGGGAACTGCAGGTTCAGGATGACATGTAGGAAATTTACTCGGTAGCCGCGATGCAAGGCAAGGAACCTGTTCACATTGCGGCCCGGGAGGTGCCGGTATACATCCCCAAGATGGTCTCTCCACGGCATATTGAAAGCCGTGGGAGACCCGTAAGCAACTGGAGGCAGGTCAAATAATCGGCAAAGTGTACAATGAGCTCAATTATTTCCTGCGGAAGAAACGCTATGGCGCCGTGTTACAGAGTCGAGAAATTATGACTGTTGGAGAAATCACCCAGAGAGCAGATGAGATATGGCGAGGAAGAAATAGAAAAGTCATCTCAGCCATTCACGATATGTAATAAATAGAGGCACGTAGCTGATGGGAAGAGCTGAATCCGGAGCTTGGTCCCGGCGCCTAGCGAAGTATGTCTCATACACTCATATCCACGACTTAGCAGCAAGATGGAATGTGATTGGTTCAACGATAGAATATCATCGACGGACCGCATATCATTCAAGCAGTTATAAAAAGAGGGGATGCGGCCAATCCATCATTATGAATAGGAGAAAAGACCGTTCAAAACAAAGGAGTGAGAAAAGACCAAAACAAATGCCTTGAAGCTTCCTCTCTTCTCAACATGGATGAATCGCTTGCACTTTCTGTATATTGAGTGGTGTATAAAGAATCCATGAATGGATTCATTCCGCACAGAGATGGCATCACCCTGAGACGATGTAGTTATTGGGGGTGTCGGGGAGTAGCTTTCTCACTATGTTATGCCTTGATAGCAGTGTTGGCTTTTCGCTGCCATGCAAGAGGAACCATTTTCCGGCTTGCGCTGGCGGTTGTAGGAGTTGCTTCATGAGAAGCAGTTTTATATCCGTAGTTGGACGAAGGAGATGGAGGACTTGTGAAGCAGGTGAGAAGAATGTCGTTGATATTCAGCCCCCGTTATCGACCACAGAGCTAACTACCTACTACAATGGTTAAGGGGAGCCTGGATGTTCCCTAATTACGTCGCTACTGCTTTGGCGCTTGGCCCATATTTGCCCGGATTCAAGCTGCGCTGCTCAAATCACCGTGAATGAAACATGTTGTGAATCGCAAGTTTTGATACATTGTCAGTAATTCGTAGATGATGTCAGGAAATTTGATACGGGGTTGTCTCAAAAATATAGCAAAATTTAACAAATGCCGCTCCACATTCAGAATTAGATGTAAAAGGAGCAACCAATCAAAATTAACTGTATGTATATCATCGATATTCTTCCCATCTATGCCTCAGAACGAGGTCACGGCTGCCGCCGCTCCAGCATTGGTTTCCTTTGTAACGAAACCTTCATCCTTCGGGTCACTATCCAGGTAGCTTCTCACCTTGGAGCTGCCATTTGGTACATGTAATCTCAAATCCACTCGTCCAAATAGATAGAGAAACACCACGATGACCTCAAGGCCAAAATTAAATATGTAAAAGCATGCTTTATGGTGATACCACGCTGGATCGTTGGCCGGACGCGGAGGCATGAACGCGACTCCTGCACGGAAGGACGCTCCCAGACAAAGCAGCACTGACGCGGTGCCAACGATGAGAAATTTTGCCCTGAGGCTTCCATGGCCGAAGTTCTGAGCAAGCTGGAGGCGGCGGAAAAGCAAGACGAACACCAGCATGGGAATTGGGAGGAAGGAGAATGCTGTAAAATACGATAAACCATACCATTGGAGATTGCGGTCGATTAACCGAATGTCCGGATCCAGGGTATAGAAACTTTGGACTGTAGCAGTGATGACCATGGCGATGGTTAAGATGACGATGATATAAAGCGCCTTGAAAAAGTAGGACAATGGCCGTGACCATCCTATACGTGGATGCGTGGATCGCAGTATGCGCTGCGCATACAGGGTGTTGAGGATAAACAGAAGTAGAACGCCAGCGGCAACGAAGACCTGGGCTGCAATTGCAATTCGGGCATTGGAGAGGCGGTTCGCCCATACGATTCGGAGAACACACGCTGCAATTCGAGCCATGCAGAAGCCGAAAGTTACCGCCGAAGGTATGAATTTATGACCTCGTGCCGTGTTTCGTTTGAATAGCATCATGTGGGAGACTGCACCCGCCATAAATATCACTAAGAATATTGAAGTTATGGGGACGTCTACCGAGATAGAGGGACGACCTCCAATAGCAGCAGCGGCAGGGGGGTATGGTGGTCCAGAAGGCAGGGCCGTGGGCTATAAGTCACGAATCATCAACTAATAATCAATCTGACATGCCACCAGAAATTGAGGTCTGGGAGAAACAGCTGTCATATCTTACCGATGATGCACCATGCCCTAGGGGCCTTGGTTGTTGAGACATCCTAGAGCCCTGAATCCCCCAGTTGCGAGCGGGCCTCTTTCAACCACTTAGTATATAGGGGGATCTTGCGTGCCCCAAGGTATGAAATTTGAGGATGTCCGCCGAGGTATGAACGACTCCCCCAGCATTAGCTACTGTAGGATGAAATATTGAAAATAATTGGGTTTTGACTTGTTGATACAACAAGAAGTAGTTCCTCTGTTACTTGTGAAAGTGGCCACAAAGCAAAGATTAAAAAATTTGACTCTCTTCCTGCATATGAGGGCGGAGTCGAATCGATTTATACATTTTTTCTTCGCATGGCAGGCCGGAAGCCCTGGTGGGACCTTTATGTGATGTAGAAGCCTTAAAAGGCGTCCGTCCAAAGACCACAGATGTTTTGGTGTCATTTGACGTCCATGTTTTGCCCTTGGCTTCCCTATCGGTGAGTGGCGTAAACTGTCTCCGACCGGCCCAGCAGGGAATAACTAATAGTTACGAGTAACCAACTACGTAGTTGGATCTCGTCAGTGGAAACATAGGTTTTAGTAGAGAAGTCCACTCACGAATCCCAACCTTCAAAGTCTTGAGCGTTTGCGCCTCTTTGTTCCGGCCGCAATTTACTTGGGAAGTTGGTGATGGTCGTTTTTGAGATGTCGGAGGTTTGGCGCGGAAACTCGGAGCTTCACAACTGCCGATATCGAATCTATCGTGGCTGAACATACCGAGACACCGATCATTTTGCACAAAATCCTTCTTTTCGAAGGGATTGCACGGTAGAGAATGATTGCTGGTTCGGAATTCTTCACGGTATATTTTCTATCGTCCTGAATTCCCCTTATCAACATTTGCGCCTTGGATTCAAAACTAGATTGTGGTTGCAAATGACTAGTTAACTGGTTACTGCTCTACTGCTTTTGTCCTACCCTCGACACTGCGACGACGAGTTGCGGAGACTTGTCTTTTTGGGGCAGACAAAGATCTCACAGACAGGGAATCATGGTCATGACATGATAGCTCCCGGTGCGGTGTTGGTCGAAGCTATTGAGAGCCTTTGTGGGTAGAGCATGAACATGGAAATGTATGGATGTGAGAATAAGACCCGTGATGCGGCATGCACCTGGAATAGAGCAGGGCCTTAGTTAATTAAATAAGAACCCCAAGGTGATGACGATGGGTGCCACAGGCTGACTGCATATTTTCCACAGCGGGCACTCAGATCCGAAACCGCCTCTGTTATTTAGCACGACCTGTTGGTCTCATTCAACACCACGCATGGATTTGCATTGATTCGTTTTGCATACTACAGTCTTTTTTTGCAGAGCTCTCTAGTAGGTCGGCGCTTCTGGACGTGCGGTTCATATTCTTGCGAGGACGGTTGAGCCCAATAAGCTGACCGACCCGACCATGGCTGCAATTCTTCAATGTATCCAGCCGCTCTATGATGCCTGCTTCTGTCCGGGTATCCCATTTAAGTATCGATGGCGCCTACTCACTCTTGTTCCAATCAACGTACTCGCTTATTCTTTAAAATGTCTGCCGTGGATCTTCTCTCGTTCCTATTCTGTGGTCCCCCTGCGTCGAAGTCCGAACCACTCCGGGCGTGCTCTCGTTTTCACACCCGAATTCACCTCTAATTCTTTACGGCCCCTCCATATCCATGTCCATGGGGGTGGATTCATAGGCGGCATTCCGGAGATGGACAATGCCTTTTGTTTACGGATGGTTCAGGAGACCGGTGCCGTTGTCATATCCGTGTCATACAGACTGGCACCCCGATATCCGTTTCCAGCTGCCCACGAGAACGTCCAAGACGCGGCAGCTTATATTGTGGAGAACGCAGAACGACTCTGGGGAGCCAATCCAAAGCTGTTAACGCTGAGTGGATGTTCCTCTGGCGCAAACCTGGCTTTGGGCATTTCTCAAAGTCTTTCAGATACTGAGTATCCAGTTCAAGGAGCACTTATGTTTGATAATCCTGTTTGTGCCTTAATTTTTCTTCTTCCATCATCAGGATTCTGGAAGGACCAATTCTTCAATACGCTCTGTCAATCCTCAGCACATAAATGTTGGTGCATACTGTACATGTGTCTGGTTAAGAAATCTGACCCTTCATCATTTCTTGTCGTATTTTGCCAGGTTGACCTCCGCATCCCTCCATGGGAAAAAACCGAAACCGCCGGGATTCCCACCGTACGACCCCCTGTCCTTCCTGCTCCCTCTTTTTGATGTATACGCCGACTCGGCACAGTCTCGCAAACTCGAAGATCCCCTATTAAACCCCATCATAGCGGACATACGCACTCTGCCGCGGAAAATGCTCTTCATCGTTGCTGGCGCAGATATTCTTCTTCACGAAGTGACGAATTTTGTAGAGCATCTGCAGAAAGAAGCTGAATTACTGAACTCCAAGGAGATTGACATGGCTGATTCCACTGGAAGGTATGAGATTCAAAGCATGGTGTTTGAAGGACAGATCCATGGCTGGTTAGATCGTAAGTTGTTCTTCCCTCTCATTACTTCCCATGGAATGCTTGCGTGCATATGACATACTTGCGAATCTTTAAGATTAATTCCTCATTGTTTTTAAGTTATGTCTTTTATGATTGATGAAAACATAAGAATCCAGGCGCTCAATGCTGCCTATGACTTTATTCGTCGCATTCATGCGGGGAGTGGATGGCAGAAAGCAAGCTGAATGAATTATATTCCATGCAAAATGCGTGTTGGGACAAAATGTTTACTCTGTATGTTTGTACCATAGATTAGAGGTATTAAGGGCACTCCCCTTTCCACGTGTGCTTGTTTCTTCTACGAGAGTTGAATGGCTGTTGGCAAGTTTGATTAGCGACGGTTGTACCCCAATTGGCCGTGACGATTATCACGAATCCCTATGACACCCCTATTGTTCTCAGGAATTGACAAAGATGACTTAATTGCCCTATCAACATTGGATGCATTATTCGATGCTTCAGGCATCTGAGAAACCGCCAGCAGTCCGATGATGATCGAACACACGGTTGTATTGCAGGCATCACTCTATTTATCTTTATTACGTGTTTGTGGCGTAATTGTGAAAGAAGCACTCGCAGTTTTGCAAATTGATCACCCTTTTCTCTTACGGCAGTCATATGAGTGCGATTTTATGCATCATCATCATGTGCAGCATTATTATTCGGAACTGCGCATAGGCATCTTGATGTCCCCATGTGGTAATGGGTTTCCCTTTACCGGAGCCTTGTTGAGCAAAGGCAGACAAACATCCTGTTTTTCAAAGCGGATATTCAACCGTCCAGTGACACTGGCGATTGCTCGATTAAATTTGGAAAGTCTGGTTTTAAAAGCAACCCAATTGATTATCTATGCGGGTTGGAGCCGAGGCCGTTGAAAAGCCAAATTAAATCATCGGCTCGGCTTCCCTCCATGAACACTGTCAAAAAGCTAATTTCCCCGCACTCGGAACAGCGGATTCTGGTGGTAACCTCTGACCTCCACATCAATTGCTTCTAGTGTCTTGATACCTGGGCTTTTGGAGAATTGGACTTATGATATTGTCATAAAATAAGGAGATTCCTGCTTACAACTATATTTTAGCGTTTACTGGAAGAACTTCTCGTGACTGGCTGACGTGTCAACCTCTGTCGATTGATATATCTAGATTCCTTTTCCAATGGGCCGGCTTTGGCAAAAGAGGGAGATGGATGATAGTGAGGAGCGAATTCACGTTTGTTCAATTTGCATGAGGAGATTTAAACGGACGGAACATTGCTTAAGACATGAAAGGTCCCGTATGTATACTAACTTTTCATCTAGTCGTGAATTTCCACAACTCTCAGCCGTTGTGCTCAGGTGTTCGTGGTTCGATATCATTAACCTACTCTCCCATCTGATTCTTATAGATACTAAGGTGAAGCCATACAATTGCCGCTTTTGCGAACGATCATATGGCCGAAAGTAAGCTATATTTAATTTCTAATTTTAAAGCGCCGTTTTCGTGAACTCTCTGACCTGTTGGCAGGGACCTTGTGGTACGGCATGAGAAAACTCTACATGAGGAAGATTGGATCAAAGCCCAAATGCCTAGCGAGGAGTCGACTGCTGCTAGTGACTCCTTATTGTCAAGGCAGAAACGTCGACTATCCACTGTAAGCTACAGTGACGAATGGAAAAATGCCCTCTCGGCGCAACGTATTCCTCATCCCGAAGAAGAGCATGACGTCTTATCCTGCGTTGGAACTCAAACAACTGCTATACCCAGCTCGACAGGAAGTGGTTTTGATTGCATGCCATATGTCCCTCAAATAAACTGTAATTTTACACTCCCATTAAAACCTGGAACTGAGGGAACAGCTGAAAGTCCGCGCGAATCTTCCGTCCCTGAGATGGCCATATCGAGCATACCTCAATTGGCAAATCCATGTTACGTCGAAGGAAATTACCCCCCCCAACAATACAACCACCAAATGCCGGGGGAATCTGTTGAACCCTGCGAGGACCTTAATCAGTACTCTGTTCCAGTTGACCCAAATTTATTTGAGACAGTGAATAGCAAGCCTCAACCGCCATGGCGACCAGATACTCCGAGATGCTTCGAGATTTTGGACATTTGTCCAAGTGTTTATGGCCCATTGCGCTCTTTTGATGTCCCACAGGAAAATGAAGAGGATTGGGAGGAGACCAGAAATGACGGCAAGTGGACTTTCCAGGAATCACAGGTCATAGGTCATCCGTCTGATAGCCATAAATCCATTTTACAGAGCCCTTCAAATCTCATTCGGCCACCCATTTCAACTGTGAGACTGGGGGAAACCCTGTCGATACTTTTCGCGGATCTGCATCTTGGGTTTGAGAATCACAAAACTAATGGTATTATATCCCTCCACTTGCTAGCACAATATCTCGATCAAATTTTCTATTATTTCAATCCTCTCATCCATATATTCTATGTCCTCACCTTTAATATCAAGACAGCCCCCTCCCTGTTGATACTTGCCATTGGCTCAATTGGGGCTTCCAGTTTTCTGACCACGACAAATCCCTATCGCTTAGGCGCCATACGAACGAGTATCTTGAAAATATCATTCCAAACCACAGACACCGGGCTCTTCATTGTCCAGATCTCTATGGAAATTCCAATGTCAGGCTCCTCTTTTTTTTTTTTTTTTTTTTTTTTTTTTTTTTTGCGCTGGGAGCTTTGCTGGAGGTGCGAAGGCTGCAGACATGGCCCTTGGAAGGGAGAATTCCCGTTGCTGAAAATCGGGCTGGAATCTCATGGAGGGAAAGAAAGCAATCGCAAATCATGGAAGACATGGATTGATTATTGGTCCTCAAAACATCTTCTCTGTTTCATGTTTGTGATAAGCGGCATTCTTACGGGCTATTTATGATATTGCATCGTGCATATCGACAGCCCAGCTAGACGAGGTGGAAACTCTTAGCAGCAGTGCAATACGGGCAGTTCCTGATGAGGAGAGATGGCTTGATCTCATGGATTTTAACAATTCTCCTCCCCCCACTGTTGATTCAGGGATATATTAAACCCCGTGATCTCTATTATGGATACGCACGGCGAGCTAGGGTGGGTTTCTGATATACCAAATTTCTCGCTTACCACCATTGCGCACTCTGTCAGCACGCATACCTGGTGTCTCAAGCAATGCGTACGTACCATCACTACGGAATTTTGCGAGGGGTCCCACTAACCCAGAATATGAAATATAACCCCCTTTCACCAACCATGCAGATACATTCTTAGCTAGATGCAGCCAGTTGATAACACACCGTTCAATCACGGGGACACCATATCCTAAATGTCGATTTAGCGAATTTGTGCTCTTCAGCAGTTTTATTATTCTGCGAAGCATGTCGATACGGACTTTCGCGGAACGGTTCTCGCTGGGCGTGTTTCACGGGCTTTTGCAGGTTTGTATGCAGATGATGGCAATTCAGAAAGGTAAGAAGAAAGAATATATTTAACGACTCCCTTACTGCCTTACTTTCATCTTAAAAGTTGTGTTGTAGGCTGACATAATAACGTATGTAGTGCGCATCTCGAATGAGATTTCAAGTTCGGAAATGCCTTCGATAGATCGAAATTCGATTCTCTGAGATTGAAGGTTGCAATAACCACTAATGTGCAGTTGAAAAGGCAAAGAAGTAAGGGCAACTCCAGGGAGAAGTCTCTGGGTGCAGTAATACGTAGTTATCCGTCAGGCATTAATATGTATATATATATATATATATACATATATATACAAGTCTATCTGTTGGGCAACATGTTGCCCCAGCCGCCCTACCGCACGTGATTAGTGTATATAGAGGTTGTCTAGCTAGCCTTTCATCCGAAGGACACCCTATCACAGAAACCGAGGATAACTAATTAACCTATATCTCATCTAATCACATTATATAATTTTCCATTGACTAATTAACTAGTTGGACACGCTCGCCTCTTGTATTTTGATAGCAAACCGGTCATACGGGAATGCTTCGAGACTTGGTAACAGGTGAGCCCAGCCATCACCGATCTCCCCCGTCCGTCCAGATCCGCGGCCTCGCCAAGTATCAAGTCCCTCTAGGCCTTCCATCACCTCATGCACCATATCAACATCCTTATGTTCACCCGTTAGGCCAGCTAATACCAGATCCTCTTTCCCTCTATATTCCTCAAGGAGACCAGGGTGCGGAACCCAGACAACTTGCATCCCCGCTCTCCGTCCAGCCTCGACGCCGGGGACGGAATCCTCGAACACAAGACATTCTTTTGGTTTGATTTCGGGCTCTCCGTTATTGGCAGCGCGTATCTCTGCGTTAATGGTTTCGAGTGCCAGCAGATATATATCTGGCAGCGGCTTTCCTCTCCCCTCACCGATGCGTGGGTTGTCACCTGTGATCAGCCTTGAATTGGGGAATAGGGAGAAGAGATCTGACAAGTGGGCCGTTTTCAACTCGTAGTTTCTGGCCGTCGATGATGTGGCGAGTGCGATGTGCACGGGGGATGAAGTGTTTGCCATTTTCGCAAGGTTTGATAGCAGATCAACTACACCTGGTAAAGGCTTTGTCGTGGGGAAGTAGATTTGTTGCAGCGCTGCTTGTTTCTCGTGGAATTCTGTCATGGAGACGGGCAATTGAGCCCAGTCATGAAAGATCTTTCCAGACTAGATTGGGGGTAATTGGAATCAGTGTGTAAGTTACTTTTATGGGATATGTCTGGCCCTTGAAAGGAACATAGAAAGGAATTCACTCAATGGAATACCTGGGGAGCTGGGCGGCCCTGTAACTGCGCCTTAATGGACCAGGGCAAACTTGGCCTGTTGTATTCTTGCAGAATCTTGTTTATCACCAGTGTGTAGATGTCTTCGGAATCGATAAGGAGACCGTCCATGTCAAATAGACAAGCCCGGACGGGTGGCGGTCTTCAAAGAGAAAAGTAAGTAAATTTCCAGGATTTTATCTTGACACCCACCTCTAGGCCAGAAATATATTTAACTATTTATAACGGGGTCCGCAAGGGGGAATGCACGCACCGATTCTGCTCAGAAGCCATGATTTCTTTTTTTTTTTTTTTTCAAGTAGAAAATTCTTTACTAACAGCTATGTTCATATATACTGCAAATGTCTGTGTTAGTATCCGTAATAAAGACTGATGATAATCTGTAGGTGATGCAGTGGCTATGTTTATAAGTTCAGCAGCTATTTAGGGGCGAATAAATTAGGTAACTATTTGTCAACAAAAAGAACGAACCTGTTAACTAGTTAAGTATTTATTTAGTGATTTACATACAAAAGGAACCTTCAATCTCATCCCCAACAGCAGATCTTTTGACCTTGTTTTCAGCCCAGCTATTTTCCCTATATCTCTTCTACAACTGTGAAAAATGCCAAAAAGCAATAAACCAGAATTAGCCACACAAAACGACCCCTCATTATCCGATAGCGACGAAGGCGAAATATTCCATGATGCCCGATACCCCGCTGAAGAAGAAGCTGTATGGCAGCCAATTATCAATATAGCTATAACTTGCAGGAAGCTCATATAAATATTATATTAGGACCTTTTAAACCAATCCAACACCCACAAATTCGCCGCAAACGAACTCTTCTCTTCTGCTCGCTATTCGGAGGCCATCACCACATACGACCGAGCTCTCTCGTTCTGCCCCAACTACCTTGATTACGAAATCGCCGTTCTTCGCAGCAACATCTCCGCATGCCATCTGAAACTGGAAGACTGGAAAGACGCTGTTGATGCTGCTACAGCCAGTATTGAGCGGTTGGATAAAGCCCTTTCGGAACAGACACAAAAGGAGACATCATCTGGGGCAGAGAAGCGGGGCAATGGTAAGGATGCGGGTGATGAGGTGGTGGAGCTTCTAGATGGAGATGGGGATGAGGAGTCGGACGAGGCGCAGTTGAAGAAACTAAGGGAAGATGACGTGAGAAAGGAAGATATAAAGCGCATATGGGCCAAAGCGCTCATGAGGCGGGCTAGGGCAAAGAAGGAATTGGGAGGCTGGGCGAATTTGCAAGGCGCTGAGGAGGATTACAAAGCTTTGCTTGGGATGGGAAATTTGCCCGCACAGGATGAGAAATTTGTGCGGAAAGTGTTGAGGGAGCTGCCGGACTTGATTAACGTTGCCAGGGAGAAGGAGGTTGGGGAGATGATGGGGAAGCTTAAGGATGTAAGTTATATATATCTATTTCCTTCTCGTTTGTCTGCTTTAGGGAGGCTATTTTCATATACTGACACTTTTCCCTTAGCTCGGGAACGGGATCTTGAAACCCTTTGGTCTATCCACAGATAATTTCAAGTTCGTCAAGGACGATAAATCTGGGGGATATAGCATGTCATTCGAGAAATAGTGTTGTTTTTGGTGTTCATTGCATTGGGGCGTTAAACAGGGAGGGTGTAGAAATAGAAATTTTCCATGTAAATAAGCGTACATTTTGGATTTCTCTGATATCTAAGTAAATATGCGATTGTATAGTGGGGTCCTCTTCTAGATAAAATTCACAATTCCTTTTTTGTTTTGAGAGGCTCGAGAGCATCTTACAACCTTGAGAGCACGCACTTCATACTCGTTACGTCAAACAACTTTTTGCTGATGACCACTGTACAACTTCAAACTAGATTGACTGGGTTTCCGCGAATACCAAGATAGCTAATTAAATGTTTAATAAAAGGGAACACTCCTGATAACCGCAATCCTCTTTCTCTACGGTTAATCGATTACTGTCGGCAGCACACATCAAAAATAACATAAGCTAGCACACATTCTCTCTCGAGAGAGAGAGAGGAGGGCAAAATAGCAAAAATTTGTTGATTTTTTGAGTTTCCCTGGTCTCTAGATACATTCTGGTAGCACAAGGTGGATATAATAGACAATTTAGGATCTCACCATATCAAAATCGTAAAACAAAAGGGGAAAGATAAGAGGATCAGGTATGTTGGAAGCAAAATGCTTAAAAACATGCCAAATGGCAGTAAACAGCAGGGGGGGGGGGGGGGGGTGAGAAGAGAAGGTTTGCGGAGATGGACAATGAAAACAGCGATGATTTGCTAGTCGAATAGCATATGCTATGTTAGTCAAAACAGACACCCTAAGCCTGCAGCCTGCAAGCATGAGCATACGATATATATAACACAAAACTAAACCAATTTCCAAAGGCATGAGGTTGAGTTGTGTTGGTCCTAATCCTATATGGCACGATCCATGGAGTCCAAGGGGAGAGTGGATGTTGTATCTCAAGCTTGATCCTGGCAGAGGCAAAAAATAATTAAAAAGTGCCGGAAACGAGGGCAATGATAGTATAAAAAAGAAATGATTGGTCCCGTGGTTGGCCTCTTCAATGGAAGTTCAGAAGAGCACGATGTTGGGTTGATTGTAAAACTCCAACATGCGGGAGAAGAGGGGGAAGTCTCTAGCACAAACGAAATCTACGGCAAGAAACAGGAGGAAGGGGCTGAAAAGGAAAGCTAAAAGGGTGCAATAAAAAGCAGTTGCATAAATATAACATATGCAAGGTCATAGGGGGGTAACCGTTGGGGGAATGAAGTTGAAAAAAGCTGTGGATTGAGCTTGTTGCATTGGACAGCTATTGTCCTGGGATAGCTACGATCCTTGGATGGTTGAAAATGCTAAGGAAATCCATGGCACACAGACAGGATTGTGTGCATGGTTCAAATTTAACGGGCCTTCTTCTGGGGAGACGGCTGGGTATCTGAACAATCATTTACATCCTGTGAGCGCTTATGGCCATGCCCATAGGACGCCACGGTTTGGGCAATGTTTGATGCATGATTGTGTGGTGAGGGAGTTGTGGTGTGATCATAAGACCAGGGATAAGGAGTAGGCACCATCACACGACGGGGGGATGGAAGTGGAGGAGAATGATACATAGCCTCCTGGAGATGGGCTGCAGTGGGAGTATATTGAACGGAGCTATCTGGCTCCATCTGCTCCTGATTAAAAGGATACTCATAGTAAGAAGGGATGTTCCGACCAAGGCCATGCATGGCGTTAGTTGACTGGCTGCGGACAACTCCCGGACCAAAATGGCTACGATGGATATTTCCAACATGCCCAGTGGAGACCGTAGGGGTATTCTGGTAAAACCCAGTGGCGTGGGGCATATTAGCTAGCTTATGGAGATTCATAAGAGCATTGCTCTGATGGATAGAGTGAACCATATTGCCCTGGGTGGATGGATGTGCAGGACAGGAAAATCCCGTTGGTTGTTGGAGCAGCTGCGAGGCAACATGGGGGCTGCTCAGAGTCATATTTCGCACATTGGTGTTAATGACCAATGGGGGCGATGTCTCTTTTGCGGCAGACTTTCTACGCGGAGTACTGAAAGGAGTGCGAAGGCCATCAGCAGCCTCCGAATCGCCCTTTGTCGGGGTTGATTTGGAATTAGATTTGGAATGGCCGAGTGCCTTCTTGCCAGCGGTCATAACCTCTCCCTTGCGCTTGTTAAGATTTTTATTGGCCACAACACGCTAGGTGATTGTTAGGGTGGTTTCAAATGTTAATTAAGCCAAGGTGATGTGATACTTACGCTCTTGGAGAAGACGGGGTCGTCAACAAAGGTAAACATGTAGTGCGCATCTAGCAAGTGCTTGCAGATGGTTTTTTGTGTCTGAGAAGCTTGTTAGAATGACAGAAGGCCGTTGTTATCATTATTTCCTATCGCAAGGGCCTTACCAAAAGACAATCCATGATCTTTTCCATTCTCTCCTTGAATGTCGAGATTTGGCTGGTAGCCTTTGCCTTGCCATCATAAATGGCGAGCAGAGGGCCATTGGTCTGGCGGCTAACACACGCTTCCTGTTATAGACATGCATCAGCATTGTTTCCACGAATATACAATTTATCAACAAACCAAGATGTTCCAGCAAACTATCTCCATTCTAATTGGACTATGCTTCTGCTCGCGGAATGGACGGATCATTCCTTCGTTATCTTCCGCATGCTCTGTGCTCTTCATTGCGTCCAGCAGATTGGAGACAATCTCAAGTTTCTCCTCCTTAGTCTTGGGAATAGTACGGTCATGATCAACTTGGACTTCAAACGCGCGCCACGAGTTGGCTTCACGTGTAGATGAGAACTTGAGCTTAGTCTCGGATTTGCCCTGGCGTATGTGGTTTGGGGGCGTTGCAATTCCCATCTTCTCCTGAAGATGGTCGGTAGTGATCTCAGTAGCACCTGCGTTGATCGAGTAGGGTTCGTTCGGAATAGGAGAGGGATAAGAAGACTGATGATGGGGATAATCATCACCAACTCTAATATCTGAAGACTCTGCGGTAGTCGCTGTGCGCGAGTGCATATTTATATCCTGACGCATCTTGAGATTGGTATATTCAACCGGGAGTTTCGGCTCGAAGGATTCCAAGTTCACTGGATTAACTGCGTGGGACTGGCGGTTTTCTTTGTGGTAGCCTGTGCTACTGATGTTCTCAGGTGCTGTGATAGTGGTGCTACCAACCACAGAGTGAGCAGAAATTTCCAAGGTCGCAGTAGGGAACTCAGCGGAATGTTCAAGTGCAGTGGTAGGCTCAACAAATTCGCTGAGGGCCATGTTGTTGAACTGTGGGTTGGATGGCTCAACAGCAGCAGTTCTAGCACAGCCGTCGTCTGCCTGTGTGAAAGCGATTAAACTGAAGATATCTGTAATGTCGAATGAGCAACTGTTTGGAATTTTGGCAGAAAAAGTGGAAGAGAAGCCAAAACGAAGAAATAAATTGGGGGTCTGGTTTGTCTTGTTGTTTGAAAAACCCAGCCCATGCATTTGAAAAGGGGGTGGTTGGGTGGGAAACAGAGGAGTTGGAACGGGGAGGGTTGTTAGGGGGATAATCGAGGAAGAAATCGTTACCTTCGGTTGACATGTCATCCTCAACTAGCATGGAAGTCGGGTTTTCCAAAGGCTGAAGATTGAAATCCGCAAGCTGGACATCAGCAGTCTCAACCAAATGAAACTGCTCCTGACCATTCGCATTCAAGTGCCATCTAAAACATATTGTTAGTTTAATTGCACATCCAAATCCAAGTAAAAGAAGAAAATAATCTTACGTTGCTTCATCGACAAAGGAATACTGAGGCTGAGTCTGAACAACCAAGCTATCAAGAAGACTCGCAAAGGTCGGCTCGCCTTCGCGAATCGGTGGAACATATGTATTTGGTGGTTCCATACTTGGATCGTTGGCAGGACGAATAGATTAGAAGTCGGAAACAACGCAAGTTTTTGCGAAATTCAAACTGAGATCGGGCTACTAATGCACAACCAGATACACTGAGACTAAGGGAAATAACGCTAGATTTGCTCTCAGCCACGATCTAACACTTAACCAGAGTGGGAAGAGAGAGAAACAGCGAAGAAAAGGAGTCACTGAATGTCAAACATACATTCGTAAAAGAGAATTATGCTCTAATATTGCTCGTAACTGCAATTTCTGAGCTCTGAGAGGTAAATACCGGTCTTGCGCTGTTTCTTAGAGAACTCGTAGAGACTCTTCGCTTTGGGCTTTGAATAAGATATGACCAGGACTCAACGGAGAACGGAGAACGGAGAGGATTCCGTATAGGAGAAGTTTGCCAGCTAGGACAGCAGTAGAGCGATTGACCGGGGTTTGAAGTAGAAAAACGATCTGGATGAGCTGAAAACAACGGCAAGAACAGAAAAAGGCGTTGAGTTCAATTGACTCGTGCTGTCTGTCGTCTTTCTGGCTATCAAAGAAGATGTCTGCTAATTGAAAGCTTAAGAATGGAGTTGTTCTGTCAAAGTGCGGGAAAGTGGGGGTAGGATGTGGGAAATCGATGGTGTAAAGAAGATAGAAGAAGGAGAAGAAAAGATTTGGAGGAGGAATAAGAAAAGGGAAAAGGGCAGAGAGGGAGAAAGGTAAAAGAACGGGGCTTGCAAGAGGAGAAATAGGGTGCTCGTCATTCTGGGCTTCATTTTCACATGTATTCGAGTGGTTGGGTGTAATTCACTGCAAAAGTGGAACCCAGCCACCATTTTGTAGAAATCAGGAGGTGTGAAGTATATGGGCGGGATTCAGGGAGGTGGCAGAGAAAAATCAAAATAAAAAAAGAAAAAGAAAAAGAAAATCAATGTCGACTCCTATTCAGCGACAGCCCGGCTGACAGCTCTCTCTAGGCGGCAACCCATTGTGTAGGAGAGCATGAATAGAATCAGAATGGCAGCTATTGATCCATTTGTCAATCAATCTCGAAATACAGAAACCGTTGTGCGTCAATAGGGGTAAACGGGGTTTAATAGAGGTTTAAGGTGATTAAGGACACAGAAGAATCTCCCGATTTACCGGTAAGCTCCGTCGTTGAGAGCTCCCTTTGCCTGTTGGTCTAAGGGATAATAGAGCCAGTATTATATCTGCTCGCAGCAAGAACAGGCTCCTTGCAAACGAGAATGCCATGGCGCAGAAACACCACAAATCCAAACGCGGGAGTATCCACTGCACAGGTTTACCGACCCAGAGCCGAACAACCCAGCATTTTTTGCCTGGTAGGCAAAACACCCCAATTCCACTCACTGAAATAGATTATGTGCGGAGAAATGATTCATAGTACCTTGTATATGCAGGTTACGAAAATTAGCCGATTCCCACCCTTCGACGACTCTTTTCGAGGCGATGAACCTCGCGCAAATGAGCCCATGCATTTGGCTGAGGTCAAAAGAGGTTGTGTCCCTCTGCCCTCACTCCCCTCTCGATGTCGGTCTCGCGCCACGGAACGACTTGCCGTGAAATCGAGCTGAGAGGGTATAGCGCAGTATCTGGGACTATTTGGAGGTCCTTATTGACATGATGGGAGCCATGAGATAGATGTCAAGATGCTTACACTATCATCCCACATTGATGCATAGAGAGCTAACGATGGAGGTGCAGAGATAGAAAGAGAAGGAGCTTAATCTGCTTCACTTTAGTCGAAGGCAAACCCAAGGGAGGAGAACAACTGCAACTGTTCTCCCACTTAGAGGGTAGGTAGATGACGCAACACATCGGAGAAGAGATGAGGGATGGAGATACACCAAGGATTGAGGGCAAGGAATTAAGATTTCAAGAGATCAAGATATCCAAGGAGTCATATATGACCCGAATGAAGGTAAATGAGATGCTGAAAAAGTTCTGAGAGGATGATCAAAGACAAGTTGATATCTGATTGCACAAATCAAAATGAAGATCCGGAGGAGAGAAGAAATGTATGCTTAGGAGCATAATCTTCCTACAGTGGAAGCTTAGAATATCAAAAATGTTTAATTTCTTCTAGCTGAGGTTTGCTAGATATTAATGTCCTGAGTTCTAAAGAAGAGAAAGGAAAAGATGAGTGTTCTTGCATGGAGTTAACTGCATCATCTTGTGGCTGTTCAATTGGGGAGCCGCAGAAGGAGGACTGGGACACTATCATAACTGGGAGACCAGTAAAAAGAAAAATATTGGGACGTTCCGACGTTAGATTTGGGCAGTGAGGTGATGAAATCTACACGAGACGTCAAATTAAGCTACTGGGGAAGCGCGGTTGCATCTTAACTTTACCGCGTTTAAAATTGGCAGATTCAATTAAGCTCATCCTGCAGGAAGCTTGGAAGCTTGGCTTACATTGCCAAGATCTTGGCACATCCCCGCAACAACGGCCGAAGACCTGGATTATATCCATCGTGAAGAGACAATGATGACATCATTGCGGGAAAATATAATGTACGTATAAGTGAGGTGAGCACATAGTGCAATACTTCGTAGTTCCTTTCAATTCCCACGTCTTCTACAATCAGCGTTGTTGTCCTAGATATGTTGAAACCGGATTTGGTTTTAACGCCCAGACCCTAAAGTTGGAGGATCTTGACTGTCCCCCACTGAACATTCAGATGTCTTAGATGAGATAAGCCAGCACCACGTTTTCTATATTCTGTTGTTTAATGTTTTCCCTTCTTCGCTTGTCCTTTGTTTAGACAACGTTAAAACTTAGAACGTCCATCGACGATGCGATTGTCCAGTTGTTGAGGCCCTTGCCTCTTCAGAACGTGAGTTTGGAAATCTCCACTCATGAAACTCAAGTACAGAAGGTGGAAAAGGAAGTTTAAATGTCTCAGAAGTGGTATGATCCCTGAAATGGATGTCGATATGGCTGCATTACTTTTGCTTATCCAAAAAAAAAAAAAAAGAAAAAGAAGAAAAAAAGAAAAAGAAAAGAAAAGAAAAGAAAAAGAGAGAATGTGTGAGTGAGTGAGTGAGGAGACACAATCAAGTTGTCGCTGGCAACAAGAAAATAGCTCAGAGGAATTTGCGAGGACAGGTAACGCGTGGGCTAGTAATGGGGCGTTGAACCTCGGGCTAAAAGGTGGAACTTGGAGTTATCCATTTTGGGGAGACAGAAGTGTTTCCTCACCCCTTTAAGATCCGAAACGGTGAATTCAAATCAGTAGGACTAGTCTTCAACACACTATAGCGCCCATATTTTCAGGCGGTTGTCAATATTGTCCTTAATGAGTCGGTCGTGATGATGTTCTGTATCAGTGCTGGGTTCCGGAATTTCAACTTCATCCAGCGTTTGATACTTCTTTTGCCCCGAACAGGTTGCGAGAACACCACCCATAGGATGAAACACGGCACTAGTGACAGGATCTAGTCCATTTCATCAGTCTTACCATCATCACCCGGCCTAAGAATCCATCTTCTGGAAACTTACCATCGTGAACTTTTATTTCCCATTCCGGTAGCCTCCCTTCTCCACCTACGTTTGAGGGATCAATCCACACCCTTACAACTCCATCAGTCCCACCGGCCCAAATTCCTGTGGAGTTACTATCACCTCCTGGGACAATATCTGCTTTAAGTCTCTGATTTGTTATCCCAACTCTCCCTTCTAGCCACCCAACCAACTGGCCAGTCACTCGAATATCGTACACAAGGATCCCACTACTTTTCCGCTCGACAACGAATAGATATCGACCGCATGGGCTCCAAAGCACCTGCGTAATACCCCTACCACCAATGCGAGCATCTGCATTCGTGCCTGCAATACTAAACGTAGCAATGGTATCGCCGCTCCCGTTAGATGCGTATAAGCCAATATACCTAGTGAAAGTCCCAGCTGCCAGAATTCCGTCGCCAGCTGGACTTATCGCCATTGTTGAAACAATCCCCTTCATGCCAACACCGCCACCAACGATCTTCTTCCGTTTGCTCGGGATAGTTAGAAGTCTCGACACGGGACCGTCTTTTCCGGAACGAGACACGTCGAAAAGACATATTAAGCTGTCTGATCCAGTCAAGAAATGAGTCCCGTTAAGGCTGTGTGGGTAGAGAATAGAATGGGGTGCAATGAAGACCTCTGTTGTGGGAGATATAAGACTATATGAAGCCAAGAATCCTGGGTGAAATGCTGAATTCAATCGGATCGGGTGGTCTCTCACAGAAGAGAGTAGAAGAGCTGATGATGGGTCTTGTAATGTGTAGAAAGGGTATATAGCTGTGGCGTAGACGGGCTCTGAGGATGGAATTGTATGATATGGTTCCAGTTCATGCGGTGCCTTCCTATCCTCGAGTAGATCTGCTGGTCTGTATATATTTAGCACTATGGTTACAGCTCCGCGTGGACCATCTAAGAAAAGAAATGCACATACAGGACAAAGGTTCTAATGCTGTTATCAGCGGAATTTGTAATTATGCTGGTTCCATCCGCTGACCTGTTAATCAAATCTTTAGCTTCTGTGGTTCTATCAAAACGCAAAGGTATGTATCAGGAGTCAACAACTTACCAACAAGCCTCTTTGATATAGTTGGATATGACCTGATGTCCTTTGGTAACCGTCTGTTTCTCATTTGACGACATTTCAGAGGTTGAGAGACCGTAGTTCCGAGTTGAGGCCACGCATGTCAATGCGCAAGGTGCATCAGATTGGTCTGGAGAGTACATATTCTTTTGCCAATATTTATGAAGATGGATGACGGTACTTCTTTGTTGATGACGTATAAACGGCAGACATTCAAACCAAGGACCTAATCATGGGTTACAAAAACAGGATGAGAATAGGTTTATGCTGAGCTTCATGGTAATCGTTTTCATCGGTTAATTACAGAGAGATCGAAGGATACGCATCGACTCCTGGCCAAAATAAGTACCAATACCAGAAGATTTAAATAGTCATGCCAAAAATCATATTGCTATTCCTTAAAAGTCATAAAATGAACGCAACTATAGAGTCGTTAATATTGTTCATGTTTTCGATATTGTTGATATCCATTGTTAAACATCGTCATGTTGATGCTCACAAATAGTTAAATATCTAAATATCGAGCCTCGGCGAAACTTTCCTCCTGTGAGAGCCAAACTGCGACGATTTTCCAACGCCGCGCGGAAAAACAAACAGCTTCGATCTGTCGCATCATCGCATATTTACCTCCTTATTTTCTCTATTCTACCCGGTATTCCACTACTACTCATTTAAACGAGATTGGGACTTTTCTTTATTGAGGTCCATTCTTTGTTTGACTTGCAAAACAACCATGTTTGCAGCGCGGACGTCCTCACCCTCTACTACAGGGTTGACCGTGAATACGTCCTCTGCGAACTCATTGTTGTAAGTAGACAGCAAAATCGTCCTCCCGTCACTATACCCTTTTTCTACAAATATGCTAGCTGTCATTATTCGTGTGCACCTGTGGCTAGAGTGATTCTCCCAGGAAGTTTTGTAGTTGAGAGACCGCCAATGTCGTCGATGTATCACCATGTTGTACGGAGGAAACGAAAGGAAGCAGAGGAAGATAAGAACCTTGCTCAATTAAGGGTGCTTGAGGCTTACTATCAAACTCTTCACATTAGTGGCACGAATACTGCGAATGCACCCGCAACCTCGTCAGGTGGCAGTTTATTTGGCGCCACCGCGCCATCACAACCAGCACAACCGGGAGGGTTGTTCTCAGGTCTGGTTACCCAGAACCAGGAGCAGCAGAAACCAGCTGGATCAAGCCTGTTTGGAGGTAACACTCAGCAAACGCAACAGAGCTCTGAGAGCCTTTCCAAAGGACTCGGGTCGGGAAACACAGAACAGCAAACTGGAACAGGGGAAAGTTCGCTTTTTGGGGCTGGCACTCAGCAACAACAGCAACCTCAGCAGGCGGTGAGCTTGTTTGGTGGTGCGCAGCAAAAGCCAGCTACTGGCGCCAGCTCCCTCTTTGGCGGAGCTGCATCCACCTCTCAACCGCAAACCACCCCACCTCTTTTTGGGGGAATTGGACAGACTTCTGGCACTTCTACCACGGGAGGGGGATTATTGTGAGTAGTCTTTGGGGCTAATACAAATATCTATTTGCTGTTGTGTATTTACTAACTACATCCTTTCTCAGTAATACCTCTCAGACTCAACAACAACAGCCCCAGCAAGGAACATCGTTGTTTGGCAACCGAAATACAACCACACAGCCAGACCAGCGACCAGCCGGCTCAACCGTCCAGGGCGTTAAAATTGACGTCTCAAACCTCGTCCCAACCACCAAGTTCGAGAGCTGCAATGAAGAGCTAAAGAAGGAAATCGAAGCCATAGACACCTTCATCTTGAACCAAATACGCATGTGCAACGAAGTCTCTGACATTCTCCCCAAAATCTCATCCCAAGGCGCCTTCGTGCCCAATGACGTTGACTTCATCCAAAGCAAACTGGACACTCTCCAAGAAGCCCTAGAAAATGACGCCAGGGGTATCGAAAACGTCCGCAACCTAGTCGTCCGGGATGCGGGGGAAGCTAAGCTTGCTTTCCGTGCTCTCGACACCCTTCTCCTCCCCCTCCAATACCAGCCCACGCCAGCGGACAGATGGCTTTCCACCAATCCGCAAACCCAAGCCATTCCAGGCCGCTCACTGCGCTCCAGCCTAAGCGCGCGCCACATGCTCGCTCTCCCCGAAGATGCAGAGGCAGACACAAGTCTCGTGTCGACAAGTGGCCCAACAAATCTGGTCGATTACTTCTCCCAGCGCACGGATGATATGAACACGGTTGTGTTGCGGTATAAGATTAACCTGAAAGAGATTGAGGATCACCTTCGCGGTGTTGAGGCGTCGCTTAATCAGCAGATTAGTGATTTGTCGTCTAGGAGTCGGGATGGGGGAGGCCAGTCGCACGCGCCTGTGTCTAGGGTTAGTGAGCTTGCTGCGACGCTGGGGGATGTGGAGACAGCTATCCTTGGTGTTGCGGGGAGGGTTGGGGGTGTTAGGGAGGAGGTTCAGGAACTTTTACTTGGGCCTTTGGGTACGCGTGGGAATGGAATGACGAATGGATGGTTATGATGGAAAACAGTTAGACAGATATGACTTTTGTTTGTTTTCTTATGCGATCCCTTGTACTTTTTGGTATTTCCTGTTTTGGTTTGTATGCCTTGATCTATTTTGAAGGTCTCATACTTTTGCAATTATTCCTGGACGGATTGCTTGGAGTTACAAGGGGTTTATTTGAGGATGGGTTTTGAGCTTTATCGTGGATGGAAGATTGATAATAATGAATTTTTGTTACGAGATTTTGCGAATATCACAACCTCCTTGAACGACGATTAATATATATATATTTTATCAGACCTCCTGTGTAATACTGACTGCACCAAAAGTGATTGAGGGACGAATGCCTTTCGATATGTAATGGGTGAAATCATCTAAAATGTTTGAGTGAAAGGGTAGCAAAAACAAGGAAGCAAAAATGGGACGTGTTATGACCGCTGTTCTTTATATATACAGGGAAATGTTACTCATCAGTGTAACAATATATATATTATGTATATAAATGCTGCTCTTCATGAACGTAAGGGGCCAACTCCCAATATTAGTTCATGTCCCGAACATGCCAGATCGAGGATCAGAAAGTTGGAGTGAGGATTCTGATGGACGGCCAATTTTGATTCCTGCATTTAGATCGTAATTGTCGGAGCCATTGAGAGAAAATCTGTTGTCAACTGCCTCAGGTGTAAATCGCTGTGGGACGGGGAAACTCTGTTTATTGGTTATGTAATCCTGGTGCGGGCGCCCCTGATATTCTGCTCTGTGGGAAGAACGTGGAGGCTCAAGAAGCCTCGTCCGATGCTGAGGAGTAGATGGTGGCATGTTTGCTGGAAGAATGTTAGACGCAACATGTAGAATAAAAACAGAAAATTATGCACATACTAGTGCGAAAAGATGGTGGTATACCACTTGGTGGTGGCATTGCTGCGGAATCTACGCCATTTTTGGTAGCTGTTCTACTCCCACTTCTTTGATGCCGGTGAAGTTGTTCGATACCCATATTGGTTGTGGGATACCGGGAGGGACTCCGTCGAGGGGATTTTGCGAGAGAGGTCAATGGGCGAAACAAGTCCTCAGTGCTCGAGTTTGATTTTGACCCTCCTCCCAGGGACTCGAGAACCTGTGTGACTGAATCAGATGCCGCTGTCTGAATCTGTGGTCTCATAGCTCTACTCTTTAAAAGGTTGTAGAGATTTGTTACTTGGGCGTGCTTCTTGCACTTTTCCCGATAGATATCCACTAGCTCGTGGTTCTTTTTCTGCAGCTGCTCTTGACCTATTTGCATCTCTGAAGATTTGCAAATTTCCCATTAACAAACACTTCGACGTAACTCAGGACTACGACAGAGGGAGCGTACCAGATAAGCGGTTTTGGAGGTTTGATATTTCAGAATTTGCATCGTGAATTACCTTGTCCATCTGTTGGTTAAGGGCACTGTATTTCTCCGTCAAACTCTTGCCGAGATATTCCTGATAGAAGCTGGTCTGAAGTTAACTCCCTCGGAAAGCGATATTTATTAGGGTAGGTAAGCGTACATTTCCTGGGCGGACTGATATGTCCAAAATGCCAACGCACGCCCAGCACACTCCATTATCGTATGAGGGTCAAGTCCACTCAACACGCTAGTTTTGTAGTCCTCACTGGGGGTGAGAACGGTGGCAACTGCATCGTCAGGGTTGACCAGACTGGCGCTACAGGCAGGGCACTGCCGTTCAGATGTCGTTGGGCGTGATAGTCCCAGGATGTCAGCACATTGAAGGCAGAAGATATGGCTAATCAAAATAAGCAATTAATCAGTGAATTTCATGCCATCGGCCTGTCCCCACCTAAGGGTAGTTTTGGGGGGGAGGAAGGGGACGACGAACGAGCATGTAGTCACCACAGCCCTCTCATTCAGCGTTACTCTGCACTTTAAAGAGTTGCAGCGGAGACAAAAGTCCAAAGCTTGAGCCATGACGGAAGAGAGAACACACCATTTCAAGTTGACAAGCCAAATGCAAGCAGCCACAAGCCACTGGAAAGACACTGCATTTGTATACCTAGATACATCTCAAGTGTATCAGGCGTCGATGAAACGAATGAAGTTGAAGAGTTTTGAAGGACAAACAAAAAGCCGAAGTCGCAGAGTTGTGGATTACCTGATTAGGAAACCACGGCGGAGGAGCCGCACTCTGGGGGAAAGTGCACAAGGCACTGTATATGTTTGTTTGGGAAGGAGTCACTCTGATAGATGCTCACCTGACTTTGCTGTGTTCACTGCTTGGAGGCAACTGGATATAAACAAAACCGACAGACATCATATATTTATAGTACGACACTGACACCGACCTTGGAACTGCTTGTGTCCAGTCGTTAAAACACAAAATCCATATATACGCCAATAATGTCCCGCCCATCCAACCGCATATTCTGAAAAACGCCGAGGGGAAGACACCATGTACCCTAGAAAAAAAACGCGTTGCCTTTGTTATCCCTTCTGATACTCCCCATCTTCTTTACGAACTCTTCTCCAGGCTCATATTCTCGCCAGAGACTCGCTGGAAATATGTGCTTGTTTCGCTCAAACCACCTCCGGTCAACAACCTTGGTAAAGGTGGGATCCATGTTCCCCCCTTCAAGCTGGGGTGGCTGTGATTCCGGATCATCGCTAGGTTCGGGCGGGGCAGTATTGGTGTAATCGAATAGTAACCCACCAGCTTTGGTAAAACTTGGGACTCGATTCGCGATAAAGTAGTAGAGCTCATAGTGCTTTATATAGAACCAAAACAAAAGTTAATGTTAGTAGTTTGCGAAGGCAAGCGAAAAAGAGGATAACGAACGGAGGAAAAGAAACAGGATCAGAGCACATACATGTGGAATAATTACGTTCCCTCGAACACACATTAAATCGTCCACACCCACCCTCGCCCACTCTCTACGGTAGTCTTTTCGACCTCTGCCAGACCTCCCACCCCCACCAGCACCTCCAATCCCCAGTTCCGCGGCTACCTTCCGACAGCGCTCAAGGAAAACCCATATCGGATCACCCTTCTTGACCTTCACAGTCCCTACAGGGATGTTCGTTCCATCGTAAAAGACGAACGGTATCAATATCTCAGTCGCTTTCACCTTTTCTTGCAGTGCCAGGAATTCCCGCCGGAGAGCATCTCGCGTTTGCGCTTCGGCCTCTCGGGCTGACTTTGTGACGACTTTCGGAGGAGGGATGGATAGATTTGGATTGGGCGCTATTCGTCGCGCGGGCGGTTTTGGGCTGTCTTCTGCGGGGGGTTTGGATGGTGATTTGCCCTCACTGGTGTTGGGAGTTAGAGCAGTGGAAGATTCTACCTCATCATCCACCTCATCATCACCAAAAGATAATTTGCTCTTCGCGAAATGACCCAGCTTCTTCTTTTTCTTTTTGGGAAATAGTTGGGCAGACTCGGCCCTGTACTTCGTCTATTAGCTCTACCTTCTTGCATCCTGGTTCAAACATACCCGTCAGTTGTTTCTCCACCAGAAGGGGTGCCACTTCTAGAATTCCCCTGAACAAACCTCCCAAGAGATTTGTCATGCGCCTCCCGTTCCTTTTGTTCAAGAACCTCAGCTCGTCGTTTCCGGAAGTCTGAGAGGTGAACGAGGCCAACCGTTTGCGATTTCAGTAAGTCTTCGGCGGAAGCCGTCTGGTTCACAAACGAACGGGGGGTCGACGTTCGACTCTGAGGATCTGAAGGCGGTGCCATTCCATGTAAGTAGCATATGGCCGTACCTCCAGAACACGAGTTTTTCTTCTTCTTCTTCGTAGTTGGTTGTTTATCGCAAATTAAATAAACATGCAAAAGCTTGCAACCTTGGAAGCCCTCCGAGGAAAATAAAATGTATCACGTGACCTAGATTTGGCAGCGGGTGGCAGTTTGGCGACCCATAAATTAGAATGAAAGATCTAAATATTTGCTTTATTTACCTTGATCGCATCTTTAAACTATGTCTATTGGAATTGATACGCCCAGTACAATTTATTCCGATCTGTTCAATACTCCACCATCTCCCCCTTTATTGCGACTTTTCTTCAACTTTCGCAGCAGCAAGACTTTAAAGCGTACAGCTTCCTGCCTCTCAAGCTCCAAACTCTGAGTGAACCGAGTTCCGTACAACACGCGCCCGATATCATATCTCCCTAAAAGTTTACCGATTCCAAGCTTTTATAGTGGTAATGATGGAAGAAGACGATGACGAACTCTATGATCCCACTGATGCTGTTGCCACCACTGAAACCCCAAAGGACGCGGATGCAGACGCTAGCGGAACAACCACAGTAACGGAAACAGAGGTCGGGGGTCAAGGGGAGGAAGAAGAGGAAGAGGAAGAGGAAGAGGAAGATGAAGTTTGTTTCCCAGACAATCTGTGTCTTTTTTATTTTTATTTTTATTTTTATTTTTATTTATTTATTTATTTATTTATTTATTTATTTATTGGCGCCTGGGAATAACTAATCGAGCTGTAGGATGATTTCAAAATCATAACCGATGCCCCCGCGGAAGCCATAATTGAGTAAGTTCCCATGAGAAAATGTAATTTTATTTTGGTCTATCATGCGCTTACGGGTAAGAACACAGGCAACCTCAACCTCCTAGACATTCAGTTCTTCGAAATGAATCACTACGGCCCTCAGCAGTCGAAGCCATAAGCGCCCCTAAAGCTTCTACTCCTTCAGTCGTCCCGAAATCTGAAACACCCACTCTCCCTCCCGCTATAGCTGTTAGGCCTGCTGCACCTCAGAAACCGGGCTCAGCATATCCTCCCCAGCACACATCAACTATCGACGTCAATGCAAACCCAGTCCACCCGACGACCGGCAAGCCTATATTGTCTACGGATCTAGATGCCGATTTTCCCACAGAAAATGACAAACCGTGGCGAAGGCCTGGATCGGACATGACGGACTACTTCAACTATGGCTTTGACGAATTTACCTGGGCGAGCTACTGTCTAAAACAACAGGCACTGCGAAAGGACGTGGTCGACCAGAAAAAGCAAATGGATGAGATGCACGCTTTCCTTGGTGCCGGTCTTCCAGGCCTTCCAGGTTCTGCACCAGCACCTGGGCCAGGTCCAGGGACACCAAACGTTGTACCTGGAGGGGGCACCCCGGGCCCAGGCCCTGGCCCTCCGCAAGTCACTGGTCCCCCTCCAAACGCAATGCCTGGTATGCCTCCTGGGATGCCCGAGATGTCGCAGGAAATGATGCAGGGGATGTTTACGAGCATGATGGCACAGGGGTTGGATCCTTCTTCAATGGATCCAATGACTTTTATGCAACATGCACAGGCAATGATGGGAGGGGGCCAACCTGGCCCTGGCCAGGGAGGTCCACCAGGTGGACAGCCGGGTTTTGGTGGGCAGCCTCCAGGACAGTTTGGGGTACCAGGCGGGGGCCAGCCACAGATGGGGTACGGCGGATACGAGCAGCGCGGCGGAGGATTTGTCAGAGGGAAGGGAGGGAGGAGGTGGTGACATTGTTCAAGATGATTTCATTTTTGTGGGCTGGCACTGTATTTCTCTTGTTTTATTTATGCTGATTTCGATTTGGTTTGGGGCATTCTGGGCGTTGTTCTCCCGCCAGATAAGCTATCAATGGATTATGAAAGGAGATATCTTCCGTGCACGATAAGAAGTAATTCTGCTCCAGTCGACAAGAAATACATGCACATGTATATAGACAAGTTATCCCTGTTGACGCGAGCACGCTGTATTATTTCAAGAGAATTCTTTGTCCTTCGTCCCGTACGGAATCTGGGTGAGTTTGCATTGTTTGCACAGGAGCTTCATATTTATGCGCTAAACCGTATTGGGCCAAGAGCTGTTCTCTTCCGGGTCTTGGCATTTCTTCTGGAAATTTCTCAGCAGGGAAAAAAAAAAAAAAAAAAAAAAAGCGACAGGAATCAGTTCTCCATCTTCAACTCCTCCGTTGCATCCACTCGACGCAATCTGTTCCAATTTGTTACCATACCTCTTCTTTGCGGCTTCCCCAGTAGCAATTCGAATCCTCCCTTTCTCCCCTTTTATTCTTCAACCATCGAAATGGTATGTAGTTCTTTTCCACACGGAAGCAAGCAGCAACTGCTACCGGACTATCATTTGACTTTGTCCAACTCCCTTTTCTAACATAAATTGAACATCAATTAGGCACTCCGCAGCATCAAGAGCCTCGTCCCACTTTTGGATCGTGTCCTTGTTCAAAGAATAAAAGCCGAAACGAAGACCGCCTCTGGCATCTTCCTCCCAGAGAGCGCCGTTAAAGAGCTTAACGAGGCCAAGGTCCTGGCTGTTGGGCCTGGTGCTCTTGACAAGAAGGGTAACCGAATTTCCATGTGTGTATCTGTTGGCGACCGGGTTTTGATTCCTCAGGTATGTTCCACTCTTCTCGAGAATCAATATCCCTAGGGGTGGGGAAGGTGGAGGAAATGAAGGCAAACGTGGTCGGGTGATCCACGGACGTAATTGATAAAAAGAATGATATAAAGGAGTGGTAAATCAGTTGCTATACGAATGCTGATGACCTATTTTTGTTATCTGGTTATAGTATGGAGGCAGCCCTGTTAAAGTCGGCGAAGAAGAGTATTCTCTCTTCAGAGATTCTGAGTACGTTACACTCTGACCCATCTCTCACCCGGAATAGCTTCCCCTAATATAGAGAACACTTATAGGATTCTCGCGAAAATCAACGAGTCATAATACCACCGTTGAATGAAGCCCATCATACCCGCAACTGAAACTGTACATTATGTAATATCATGAATTTGGATTACAACCTATCGCACCATAACAATATATAAGAACATTAGGGGGAGGTAAACGGAAGGGAACAGTTTTCGATCGGGAAGCTGGATATGTTGTTCTAGTGCTCTTGGTAGTAACATCGAAGATGTAGCCCCTATGTTGAACTCATGCGGTACAGTTTGTTCTACTTGGCAATTGTTTTCCCCAATGGTACCCAACCAGCCGCGCCTTTTCTATTTGTGATTTTATATTTTGATACGTTCTAGCGCATCATATTCATGGTGTTTTATCTTTCATATTTCCTTGTGTCTTTCAGCTGAAATATACTTATAAAATGTACGATCTCCTCTCAATCTCATTCCCGAAATTACGATTACACTCTCATTATTTTAGAACTACAAAAGTACCTTTGAAAATGTAGTCATTCAATTAGAATCTTTTGTCGGCAATTCGGGCATTCTTCATTTTCATCCGATCGAAGTTTGGGCGTAACTGTACAATTACGAAGTACTCTCCTGTGAACATCTACTATCCTTGTCAGAGGCGTATTGCAAACTACGTTTGAAAATAACGAATTATTCTTGTGATGTCATCTATACCCTGTACAAAAGTGACAAACAATAGAGACTACACCTAGTCCGTTTTTTACGCCCTGTGAATATCCAATGGGGAAATGGGGCTTTCGAGCAATGAGTACAGAGCAATAGTATCATGAATGTGGAAAAAGGGCAAAACCCCTGGAATGTGTAGTGTTCATGATACTGGTTCATGCGCGAGCAATTGCAGCTCCCTCAAGTATCCCTGTTGGTGGACCATCACCTCATTGCAATCAAAAAAAAAAAAAAAAAGATTAAAAAAGATTAATAAATGCAAATTCGGTAAGAGAACAATGGCTTTCCATTTGGTAGTTGGAAGCAGGACTGTTGGCCATCGACTGTCCATCTTTAACTAGCCGCCGGAATGCCAATGTTTGCCACCGCAAACCTTCAATTTAGGTTCGGCTGCTCTAACTAACTGTTTTTTGGGAACGATCTGCCTACAAAAATATACTTTTAAATCCCCTCGAGAGTTTGTTTTGTCATGTCTAGAAATAAATCCTTCGTATACGATCTTCAGACGTTCTAACAGTTATTCTTTAAAGGGATTCAATCATCGATATTGTTTTTTTAAAAAAAAATATATTCACTGATATTTTATACTCTAATACTCTACTTGAAGTTAAAGGAAAGGATAAGAAGATAGAGTAGGAGCTGGAAATTCTCAACAATTCTTTGTTACATGCAATTTATTACAATTTCACCTCTCCTCAACGCCTAATCTTCGTTCCACACGTTCTAAGACACGTTGACCGAATATGGGCGCAAATATACGCTCTCTTTCTAAGGGATTCATACCAACAAAGCGGGCGAGTGCTTTGTGCAAATCTAAGGTCCCTTTGGTTTGAAAATTCATCAAGAAGCTTCTATCGTACCCTAAATCGTCTCCGGTCTTCCTCTCCTCAAAGGGATAAAACAGTGCCATAAGTGCTGCAAACGGATTCAAGCCCATCTGGCGAAGAAGAAGCTCGTCAGGTGAGGCATCTCCCACCGAGAAAGCGTGGTTGGATTCGCCTGTCCCGTGGATAGGGTTGGCTGGGGACCATCGGGAGGCAACATGATATCGGTTTGCAGCACATACTAGCCAATTTGTTAAGTTGTTAGGGTCAGCCATGACGACGGAAACAGTTACTGTGGTAAAGTGGTTTAGGGAATCACAAAACGCCCTCAGCGAGTCAACAGCGTTCATGGTGCTAACGTTCATTCCTATTTCGGAGGCGTGTTGCTTCGGGCTATTTATGTGGTTGCAAATAATAACATATAATTCCTCATATAGAAGACAAACGTTGGAAATGCGCTGGCGAACAGGAGAATTCAGTTCATGTACAATTCCCTGATGATGTGGTTGGTGGCCCGGCAGATATTTTTGAAGTATCTCTTGAGTGGTGGTTAAAATAACGCCTACAGCTGGGGAAAGTGATATATCTGCTATTTGAGGTTCGTCGCTTGGTGAATCGGTAGAATGACCTTGAGCTTGCGAAAACAATTGTGGATGACGAGGACTCGCCGCTTTAGAATCACGGAAAATTAAATGGCATGCTGGGGACAATGATTCAAGATTGTGGATTATCGCTCGATGAGTTCGGAGAAGTGAGGTAGATATCACAAATGTTAATGTTCCTAGAGGCGCAATCGTGCTTGGAACGGCTAATGTGGGAATGGGAGTAGCATGAGAGCTTAATTGAGTGGACCTTTCCAGCAGATGAGCACCAATCCCGGGACTCAGGGTACCTGATGCCGAAATCGGCAATTCTGGTGGAGCTGGGTGGGAAAAATATGGACACACATCTGGACGGGAAACCCTAAGGTTGTGACCACGAACTTCCATAAAATTCGAAAGAGAATCTAGAGGTGAAGTTTTGGAAAATCGCGTTCTTTCAGCTCGCTGATTTTCCACATCCAGTCTAATATTTGAAAATTTCTGGGAACTTGCTCGCTTTTGGGAAACTCCTAAATTATTTGCATGCTGATATTGCGGACAACTCCTTTTTGGTTCATTTATAGCAGTAAATAGGGGATGTCTTCCGATTGATGAAACCGGTCGTTCTATTTCCCTGCAAGCCGGTGACGGAAGTTCCTCTTTGTCGTCTAGATTCGAAAGGCGAGAGTCATGAGGGGAATCTGGCATAAATTTCTCGACCCCGTCTTCCACGCGGTTTAACAGATCGACTCTGCAATAAAACCAGTCCAGTGCGTCCATTGGCCCAATACTTTCATTGACGTACAGCCTCCGTAATTCCATTGCAAACGGTACCCATTTGAGATACTGTCCACCACGTTGGTAATGGAAACTGTGGGACCCAATTAAATGTTCCTGTTTAACTTTAGAAATAAAGGAGTGATATAACTCCTTCAGTTCAGACTCCGATAGGCTGTAGATGAGAGGCCATGGTGGAAAAGTGTGTGGCGACTTAAGTATTGGAACCTCACATCGAGTGGAAATACCAATTCCCCTGATGAGCTCGTTTTTATGTTTGTCGTCAGTTATTTTCTTAGCTGCACTGGCAATTTCTGCGAGATCGTTCTCGACGAGGTCGCCATTTTCAATTTCTATTTCATCACAGGAACTCCATTCAGGAAGAACGCCAGATCTCGCCATGGCATTTGTAATTTCCTCATCATTTTCAGCGTATCTCTTTTTGGTCGATACGGGCGGAGCGATGGGAGTTTCAACCTTGAAATCTTTCATGCTATTCCTAACAAGAGGATTTAAAGATAGCTCTAAGGATGCCTGTGGTGCTTTATTCGATATACCTGACAAAAGTTCTGGATATACACCAATATTGGAACCCGCAAGAAATCCCCTGACTACGTCATCGGAGTTGCGTACGGGAGTAGCCTCAAGTTGTCGGCTCTCAATGTCTTGATATCCAGGCATCGGGGGGGTTATAGGCTCCGAGAGGATTTCTAGTTCTAAGAAAGGGGAAGACGGGATAAATGGAACTGGTGTTCGGTCCCTAGGTAAAAGTGTCGGTGTTTGAGGGTCGATCTCTTTCCTCTGGTGCCCCAGTTAGACGTTTAACTATATTTTCCAAATCTGCATGATGCACACTAACCTTGCCGTAGCAGATAATCTCTTCATCTAACCAGTCATCGCTAGCCGGCTGCCCAGCCTTCAGAATCTGATCTTTGATCTCCTGAAGAAATATCAAGACCTCTTTTGTACAGTTCAGCTTTTCACCTTGGGAAACTTCCCGTAACTGCTTTGACTTGAGCCAAAATATTGCTGGAAACTTCAAACCCTCGTCATTCTCATCATACACGTGTTCTAGTGGCAAGTTAATCTCAATGGCATGGAGTGAGATCTTTTGATGAAATGATTGCACATCGAGTTCATGATCTGTCCGCAGCATTGGAGTATCCTCTTTCAAATTTCGAATTTGATAGAAGTCTGGTAGATATTCGTCTTCCTCATAACGATTCGCATTTAACTCTCCATATTTCGATTCAGCGGTAGATTTAATAATGGATACTAAGAGGGGTGCACTAGTCCAGCTAAAATCAAGCTTCTCCTTAGATATTGCTTCTATCTCAGAGTGGATACCTGATAGATCAATAGAAGGAATTTGGATTATATCACCAAAAGAAGGGTCTATGTCTTCGACGGCCGGTTGGATGAACTGGGATGGGTCGAGAATGCTGCTGTTGGCGATATTGTGAAAGCGAGCGTATTCGAGGAGAGATGGTTCTGATGCTGACGACATTGTTCAAGATTTGGATAACCTGAAGAAACTATAATCTTCATGCCACCTTCTGATCAACATATGAGATGAGCGAAACCCCAAAGTCCCCATCACTATGTGTGCCATTGCTTGCAATCCATAACTGATGTAGTTGAAGAAGAGGATATCGGAGGAGGAAAAGATGCCGTCAAAATAAAATCCACACGTGATTCCATGATGTCCCTATTAATTAATAAATGAGGCGGCTGCGTTATTCAACACAACAGCCATCAACTTTTCCAGTTGCAAGTATAAATGGAACAAAACTTGGGATACACCCAAGTCTTGACAAGCATTGCCTAGGGATCAGTAAAAGTTTTGTTCACAGAACATAGGAAAATCCCCCACACTAACTTCATCTTATGCGACACAAGAAGGCGTGATAATCCCTCAGGGGAACAACTGGAATTAGATGAGCAGTTGGGATTGGGTACATTCACTGCATGGATTTGCCAGCGAAATAAAAGCATTCATATGTGTTAGGAGTCTATGTGGTGATTATGATATCAGGACTGCAAGATGCTCAATCAAAGAGAGGACCAAGGAATTAACAAATGAAAAAAGGAGAAGAAAACAAATGAATGCTGTGGAAAGAGATCAAAATAAGAATAACAACCATAACCGTGAGAGGATCCAAAAATAATTTCGTTCCATTAATATTTTTCAGTATGTATTCATCATCTTCTAGAATTAGTTCTTCATGGGTGACACAAGGGGATTCCATGATCCCATAGGTATATGTATGCGGCCGTGGGCTACGCAATGGGTTCGTCATATGCGCGAAACTATTCCCCCTACACCCGAAAACGTACGCAACAGATTAAGAGAAATGAGGAAGAAACATGGCGTGAGGGTTACAATGCAAATATCAAAGTGACATAAAAGGACCAAACACCCTGTATATACACAGCGTAATAAGCTAGGCTGGAAACTCCTTGGGAATATAATGGAATAATATGGACAAGAAGAAACATAAAAGACGACGATGGGTGGCTCATACATATGCAAAAGAGGACGCTGACACAAGGGAAAAAGCAGTTAAATAATTTCTCCCAAGTGATACTCATTAATAACTGGAGAAATAGAAACTGTAGGTAAAGAAGGGAACATAAAGCCCTCGAGCAAGAACACTTCGACACATCACTCATGTATGTTGGGTGTTTTGACAACCTCTTACGGAACCCACAACCTGACGAATCCAGCAACTTCGCGCCTGCATGTAACGCAGCTTCCGAAATTATTCATCGCAAGGCTGACCCTGCAATCTTCGCAGACGCAAAGACAGCGACACGGCCATGTTATAATTGACCGAGGCGCAGCCTGGCAGATGACACATTGTGGTCCATCGGCACCGAGGCCAGAGGCACCGGACTTCCAAGACTGCGGGTCCTGTTGCGAACGGTGTCCCGAGGAGTTGTCTCGGCCCAGTCGCCGTGATAGTATTAGGTTTTCGAGGATCTCTGACTCTTCTTCGGAAGAGGGTCTTTTCCGTTCATTCGATCCAGACAATGTTGAAGGGTTGCCTCGCATGTGGGCACTGTGATATCGCGATGATGTGAGAACGCGAGCCCGGTCTCGTTCCATTTGGCTTCTAAAACGACTGCGGGTCATGATTTTACCCTCATCCGCTGCCTGCAGATGTGACGCTAGCACCCGAGCTTCGTGTCTGGCTTCGTTGTCTCTCGGGTCGAGGAGACGGGCAAGAGAACTCATATCAAGCAGAGTTTCGTCGGTTGGTGTATTTGAACTTGACCTTGAATTAGACCAGGTATTTTGCGGATTCCCCATGGTGTACGGGTTCTCTTGAGTTGGTGTCCGACGACCAACTGACTCCCACTCCGATTCGTCATTTGTAGACATAGAAACAACGCTCGTATTATCTTCCAAATCATCCTGGGAGGGTGTATAGTCTCCACTCTCATCTTGATTGCCCCATGATCCCCCGACCTTCCACCAGTTATAAAGTTTCCTATCAAAGCGACTCTCCTCCGCTTCACCCCATTGGGAAGTGTTCGCCAGCTCTCTTTTCCTCATTTCCTTTTCAACGTCAAATTCGTGATCTTCTGGAAGCTCCAATTCGCCTTCGTCGGTCAAAATCCAAAAGTCAAGTGAATTCGGCTCCTGGGTTCTTTTTCCAGTAGCTGCTTTGCGACCAGTACCACCCAACTTGGTCAACCACTGAGGTCGGGCAGCAATACCCACAAGTTCTAGGCTTCTAAGCATCCAAAAGGCCACCCACCCTACCAGAAGGAAGAAAATTCCACGAAAGAACGTGAATCCATGATAGCATCTACTGGCCCCTTGGAATGCGCCAACTCCGCCAAAGGCGCTTTGTTTCTCGATCGATCGAGCTCCTTTTCTCTGTTTTTCAAATTTCTTTTCGCGGCCGTATCCACTCTCCCATTCAGTTGTGCGTTCAGGTATATCGAAGGAAAAAGTTTCATTGACACCAGAAGGGAATTCCATTGGCTGAGGGATATGTGTTCTGCTAGCATTATTGTTTCTCAATGCTTCGATTTCCGAGAGCCTATCCTCTTCCAGCCAAGTCATTGTTCTAGCTACCACGCTTTTCCCTTCGTTTAGAAAAACGGCGTCACTAGCTGCTGCTAGAGAGGCATACCCTATCCTAACCAGGGCAGTATAAAAATCTTCTCTAAGACTAAAACGGATATTCTTGATTTGAGAGGCTCCTTGCATATTTGCATGGGCAAGTGCGAATCTTTCACGTAACGACGCCGGAGATGTACTCTCAGGTAGAGAAAATGCCGTTATAAGTAAAGCTAGTCCATAGATTGCAACACAGGTCAAGATGCCCAGGAATATGAGCAAATGTGGCACGAACCCAACAATACATACTGTAGGGAATCTGAGGACTCCGGTATCGGTACCGATAGGCGAGCCATCGAAGAGACCAAAAAGCATAGAAGCCATAAAACAAAGACCCCAAAATGTAGTGTTGATGAGACGACCTTGGTTTTGACGACCAAATACGTCGAGGATATTAGATGATAAGCTGTTGCAGCATGAAATCAGAGAGATCAACAGAAGCTCGGGGGTGACGTTGAGCCTCTCTAGCACTTGATTCCGCGAAAGAAGTTGCGTAGTAGAAGGGGCGCCCGCCGCGTGAGTTGCGGAAGTTTGGCCCGCAACTTTAGGCACACCAAACAGGCCAAGGCCGACTGAGTGACTTATCATAGTTTCCGCTTCTGCAAAGGCCAGGGAATGTTCGAATATAGACATTCCTGCCTCCGTGACAACCCCTCTTCCTTGCAATGCACAAGACAGCGTTTCAACAAACTGGTTGAGGCAGAGGCGGAGGAAAACAGACCAGAGAATAGAAAATGAACCATAAGGGAAATCTTTGGCTCCAGATAATCGGCCCATATGAACAGCATTACAGGAATCTTGATCGCTTTCCCAGGGCAAAAAGAAGGAGGAAAATGAATAGAGAAAACCTCCTTCACCACCGTAATCCAGACTAGAACGTTTTCCTGGTTTACCATACCGTAGCTCTGGGTATTGTGGTGATGTTTGGCAATGTATAGCTCGTAGTATCGTGATGATTTGGGTTACGAAAAGAATGATAGGAACTATTCTCAGCGCTAGGCGAGTTTGCCATTTGAGAGAGAGATGGCGTCTTGTGGAGCCGTAAATCGTTACCCGGTTCAAAATCAGTGCCTATCAGCGGAATCCTTTAGTCAATCCACCCTAACTTCATGAATTCCCAAATTCCACATTCCCCTCCCGGACAGCCCTTTATTAGTGTGTAGAAAGGTTGCACTCACCACTGCAAAGCAAGCAATCGACCATCGACTGGTCATGTAGCTAAAGAACCCGCCAAATTTCCTCACATTATGCAGTAGATCCCCAAAGTTAAACCTTGAAGCATCAGCTGCATCAGCCGCTACTCCAACTCCATCCACTCCCGCGGCTGCTATCACTGGCTCGTCTCCCGCAAGGCCCACCCCACCAACAACGCCTGTGGCATTATCTATCATATTCGCAACTACTGTTTCCAGTCTTAGAAATCGTAGAATACTCCGGGGAGCTGTCACAAATATGAAAACCTCTGCCTGGTAAATGACGCGAAGCGGAGTGAGTAAGAGGTCTTGAGAGGTAGAGGAAAGGAACGGCAGTTTCGAGAGGGTGGAATTTATGAAACCAAGGTTTTCATAAAGAACAGGAGATGGTGTTATTGAGGTCAACGGCATATCTGCTGTTTCGGTAGTTGTAAATATGACCGCAGCATCTGCCATCGAGTTGACATCGGTTGAGTACATTGTCATCGTAAAGGAGGAGTCAAGTCCTTTGATATTGTCCAGAACCAATCTTCGATCGATCAGCTTTTCACTTGTCCCTCCTTTCTCTGCACACCAAATGTGAAGATTCCCAGACAAACAGCCGTGTTAATTCAATAATAAATGTCACAGAGAATCGGATGACCACAGCTCCATCAATTGACAGGAGGACACTTAGATGATTGAATCCAAATCAACCAGATCGAAAAGTTTTCATTTTCGTATTTCTGCGCGGGTCCCTTCAACGAAGAGCCATCCAGTGCACAGTGCGCATGAGTACAAATATATTAGACAAGGGGGAATTCATAGAATGAGGTGAGATGATGAAGCTGAATATTGCAAGTGTCTTGAAGTTGCGTCTTAGTCCCGCCATTGACAAAGAGGTGTTTGCCATGTTTGCCATGGGTGCTGGATCACATGACATATTCGTCTCTTACCCAATTTCAAACGCAAGGGAATACGATCACCATTTGATGCAACTATCAGAAGGATTCCTTCTAGCAGTAATATTTCTGTATGATAATATTTCTTTCATCAAATCATGACTATATCACGCCGTCACCTATTTGGTTAACTAACCTCTAAACATAATCAGTACAACGTAAATATGGAATCTTCACAAATAAATTCAATCCCTTGCCCCCCAAACAGCTAAGACGCAATCCGTAAATGTTCCCTTTCACT